ATGCAAAAAAGATTAATAAGTTTCTGCAACCAGAAGAGAACAAAGGGAAACTATATTTAATAACTCAAAAGACACAAGAAATTATTAACTAACAGAACATGCAACGTACTTTGTGCCTTGATCTACAGGATTACTTGGATTCTTTGTGTCTTTTACTTTTAGAGTCTGCATTTGTTCCTCCGAAGACTCCTCAGAGTCACTGTCACCACCTCCCTGAGTAAATCACATGAAATTTAGTCTTCCACACACGTTTAAGAAAACCAAATGCACTCTTCTATTCTGAGTTTTCATATTATAAGCACCATCTGAGACTGATGCCACACTTCTAAAAAAGGGCTAAGATTTGGTCAATCTAGCAAACTCAAGCGCCAGCACTTACATATCAATCATAACTGCATCAAAGGAAAGGTCTATTGAACAAGTAAATACCTCTTGCAGGGAAGCTGCTTTGGCTCTGAAAGACGCTTCTAAAAATTCAGCCTCTTTCTTAAGCTTCCTTATTTTCTCTAGGTCAGAGCAAGCGGCTTTTATTTGTTCCTTTCCAGAGGATGAGCTTGATGCATGCAACTGCTGCAGCAAGCTTTCCAGTCTCACGAGAGCTTCATCTACACTCTCTAGAGCCTGAGAAATAGGTGCTGTTAATATCTATGTTACATTTGATAGTCACCGGAGTTCTAAACAAAAAGCTGGATTCAAATAGTGTACGGAAAAGCAAAGTTTCATGACTAATACATGGAATACCAACCTTGTCAAATGAGCTAGACTCTCTATCAGTTGACACTGCATTCATGTCAATGAACCCTGCTTCTATTACTGCCAAACTGCATCACACATTACCCAATAGCACACAGCTAAATTACTTGATAATTAATTATAAAGGTATGCTACATAACAAGGATGCGAAACAATGCAAAGTGCACAGAGTTGGATATGTGAAGCGTTCCCAAGATGAATACACAACACGTCTTTTCTACACAACTTATCGTTCCCAAGCTTACCTTGATATCCCCAGTTCTTCCTTGCACTGAATTAACTTTTTGTGCCTAAAAACCATGAAAGTCAATATGATCGCCAAGTAATTATTCGTTTACTATCCAAATTTTGATAAACAACAATTAAGATACCCCTTGGATAAGAATTTTGCTGCCTTGACATTAGATGGATTCTCTGGCCATTTGCTGTACTTGATAAAACTCTGTAGCCAATAAGAGCAAACATTCAATATTTGAGGAAGAGCATCATAATTAGGTGGCCCTTCCGGTCTGCTTCTATGCCCATGTGCTTGTTCGGTTGGCTGGGAGTCCTTTTTCTTTGGATAGAAGGGAAGCCACTCTAGTTCTTCACAGACAACCTACACTATGATTTTCCATGATAAGACTTCAAAATTGTTTAATGACAATTCCACGAATGATGGTATGATTTATGCCTACCTCTACATACAACTGGTATGAACTGATGGCAGAGAGTTGAGGATATTGCAGGAGACTGCCCCCAATGAAGTGCCTGAATAAAGAAGATAGCGAGTTTAAGTGGTAGTGTGGATCCAAGAGTATGGCAAGCAGACAGAAGAGAAACAATGAGTCACCTGACAAGGTCTTCCACAGGATTCTCCAGCGAATTAAAACCATTTGCAGCTAAAAAAGATTGGGTGCTCCTGCCTAAGGCTATGAAGAATCCAAAAATAGCTAAATCTCTTTCCAGAACCTGCAAGGCATTAGCAACGGGTCGTAAAAAACTACCCAGATATTTACATCCGAGTATTCAACCATATGTATCTACTGCAAACCTTAACAATCTAAAGATTCTAAACACACTATGAGTCATTATAAACTAAAAAAAAGATCGGATTTATTTTTCAATATGTGTCACTTTATGAAGATCCCAGCTAGTATCACTTAAACTTGCGACCTATTTCTGCCACATTCTTACATTCTGAACAGCACTTTCAAAATAAGGCACAGCAAATGGTATATCCAACAAATTCAACATGGAATTGGCTGTCACTAATGAATCCAGACAAGCAATTACGTTCCCTATACTTGCATGCATACTGCACAGAGGTTCTAATGGCTGCTCAGATATCTCCTATGTATTCATTACCTCGATACTTTCAGACGTTGTTAATCTTGACCATATTTTCTCCCGATCAATAGCCCGCAGCAGTTGGTTTTGTATAAGATCGACCCAAAAGACAACTTCATCTGTAGTGCAGTCACTATTTACTCTACATGCTGCTGCCCTCGGTCCAAAATGAACAAGAAATTCTCTGCGTAAACCGAGGCTTTTCATTGAATGATAGGTCTGAGGGAGTGGAACAAAGTCAACAAATTTGTCCATCAATCTTCCTGTCGTATCTGGAATCATAGAAAAGAAGGGTGGGCACGAAAGTTTGGTCGGGCCAAGTTTTGTGACTGCTGCGATGCAATTCAGCACAAGCATGAGAAGTGACACCTCAATCTCATTGCTTGCAGCTGAGGACTTGCCTTTGGCATAGCTGGAATAAACCATAAAGTATCGTCACATTCTAAAAAGCAAACAGTCAAACGAGTGTTTCACAGAACTTACTAATATTAAGAGAGTCGAAAGAAATCACATACGCAGATGTAGCAGCAACAAATCGTTGGTCCCCCTCAAAACAAGTCACAAAAGATGTCACCGCAGAAGGAACTTGGTCAGACCAAAACCATTCATTGGCTTCAGGGTGACTGGAAGATAGTTTATCCCGCATCATACTATCAAGCGGAGAAGATTGGCGTGATAAACTGCATGATGAGATTATCTAAACATCATAAGCAGGCTCAACCATGAAGCAATAACATAGGACTATTATTTAGACAGAAACGACTAGTTTTGGAAAGATTTCAACGTCGGTGAAAGGAAACTCTTTCAAAGACTATGTGGGGAATAAATATCAAACCAACACGACATAAGTCTCAAACTAATACTTTGTTGCATTCTCTTTAAAAGCAAGAACAAAAAAAAAAATACTAATTTAACTGTTTAAGATAAGCAGCTAGCTAGACTCAGCCAGTAACAATTAGGTCAATGGAGATGACCTGAGTAGGCAAGCCAACATTGCCATTTCAATGATAATTTTTTGAGAAAACTGCCTACCAGCTAAAGCTCAAGACGTATATTCTCTTGATAAAGCTATGCAGTTAATAAATACGAACGCAAGAAACTGTTGGTAATTTCCAAGCAATACCTCCTTTGCACAAAGACATTAAGATCCTTGTCTCTGTCGTTTCCTCTAGATGAAACCTCATTTGCAGCTTGAAGTAAGGAATACACAGAAGCCTGAGGATAATGAACAGAAGATGCATTTAGCAATTATAGCAAAAAATATGACAAGAAAATACTTCGTGTAAGCTAATGCGCAATGGGGTGAGAATTTTTTTGTTCTTCACCAAATATATGTATTTGGCCCTGATAATAACTAGTAAAATATTTTTCAAATCCAGTTGCATATTCCCCTATCATGGTACCGTGGGGATGCAAAAAAACCAACTACTGTAACCACTCGGATGCATTGATGGTATATATGGAAGTGGAACTAAAATGGTATATACCTGATAAGAAAATGTCTTAACCCATGCATTTCTATCCACTCCCAGCCAGGCTGCTGAAAACCATGGTAATTTGGACGTGGAAATCTTCTTTTTAAGTGCCAGTTCAAAAGTTCTGGCAGCATCATGCAAAGATTGAATGAGTTCATCACAGTTGTATTCATCTTGTAGCGATTCAGTGAGTTTGGCCCTCATCTCCTCTACATCCTCCTTAGCTTTTGACTGTGGAGTCCCATTAACAGCCAATCCGTCTTCAGCAGATGCAAGGAGAAAAGGCTGCATTCTCCTCCGCGATTTATACCAGCTTATCTTCTTGTTTCCAAAGAAATTCCTATGAAGAAAGTGGTTCCTACTTTCCAGAACATCATCGGTTACAAACAATCGGCTCCTTGAATTTCCCCAGCAGTATGATATACAATCCAATTCTACCACCCTTCTGCAGGAAATATAGGTTCCAATGGACATCCGCGAAAGACAAGGGTTTGACGAGCTACAAAGGCAAGATTACATGAATAAGAAGGAAATAAATTAAAAGCTAACATAGCCTTGTTTCTACCAAGAAGCGACCAAATTTCTACCATTAATTACGACCAAGACTTGCACTTGCACACACAACTACTAAATTTCTCAAGAGGAAACTCAACGAGAACTGAGCTACACTCTCAAGGACAATTCACTTAAAAAATGGTTGCTTGCGGAATATACACTCAGTTTCAGCTCTTTCATGCTCTTCTTCAAGCAGCTCTAATTCAAAATTCATTTATTAATATTCTTAAGTTTCGTCTTCTTCTCCTGATTTATCGGTAAAACCAGACTTTACCGGCAAGGGGCAAATTTCAACCAAAAAGGAAAGTCAATTCGGGGTTTTGCACTAAGTACACGCAAGATCATGGATAGGAACATCGCGATACTTTCACTGTACAATTAAAAACAAATCGGGAAGAAATCCACGAAAAGACCATTAAAATCGAAGATTCAAAATAGAAGGAGGTAAATGTAAGCTTGGGTTACCTTGACGATACGAGACCCGGCCGTTGTAGCTTAACTTCCATCTACATGAAAGCTTACAAAAACCAGCGGGAAATATCTTCTGAAAATTTTGGTTGGTGACGAATTGGAGAATATTTTTGTTTAAACCAAAACTGGAGAAGGTTATTGAGAGGTGAAATACGAAAAATCGCTGAGCTCGAAATGATGCTGAAGTTTGGGGAGGGAGAAAGAGATAATGACGTGGCACGACGAGGATCTCTATCCGTAGACGTGGAGGTCCCAAAATTCACTAAACAGAAGAGGACTTCTCCGTTGCAATTGATTTTAAGTTCGATAATCATGGCCACGTATGGAATTTGGTTGGTTTTTGTATTCGGTTATTTCGGCTTGGTTATTAAATCGGTTATCTTGATTCGGTTTGGATCCGATTAATCAAGAAGAGTTTTGTGATAATTACACAGTATCTGCTTTAATTCCACACAAAGATCTAATGAAAGCTCCGGAGATCATAAAGAAGTAAGAGCAAGTAGAAATCTAATACTGAAGCTCGCTCATGTCTCTACACATACACCAAGAGAAGCAAACAACACTTCAAAAAGTGCTTTCAAACCAAGAAATTCACCTGAGCTCTCTCTAACTATATCAAGTAGCAATTTGGCTAATTTGGTTTCGGTTCGTCGCTTTTCAATGTTTCAGATGTCGTGGCAGCTACTAGAACGGGCTCAGGTGGTCCTCTGGCTATTGGTAAGCCACCGAGACCACCAAAACTTTGCTTCTCCTTAGCGTAGTCCACAAATATTACACGGCCGTTTAATTGCTGAAAAGAAGTATCGCTTGTGTTACCACGAGAATTTTAGTTTTAACGAAGTAACAACGATTAAGACAACACATCATATTTATACCTGTCCATTCAACTCCATCAAAGCCTTCTGAGCTTCATCATCAGAAGCAAATGTCACAAAACCGAAACCTTTGGATCTATCAGAGACTCTATCCATGACTATTTGAGCTGAGCGATGCAAAAGAACATCTCAAAAACTCTCAGATACCAAAAAAGCGGGTAAAATGTGGAATCGAATTTCCTTTGATGCGAGCAAAAATGATGTATACTGAATATTATACCTTCAACAACTTGGCCACATTGGGAAAATGCCTCAGACAATCCTTGCTCGGTAGTGTAAAACGATAATCCTGAGCGGAAAAAAAAAAACAGGATGTGAACACTTGAAGACCAAAGCTTACAAGAAAAACAACCATAGCTTACACATGGCTCTAAAGAAAAGATTGCAGAATGATAATCTTAGAAACAAAAAGTGTAAAATACAATTCCATGAGAACAATAGCTCGTTCAAGAAAAACTTTTAAGACTTATACCAGAGCATAGTCTCTCATATAAAAGAGGTATAATAATTTACAATTTATTGAATCACAGTCAAGAAATTTGCATCCATTGGCCATTGTCAACGATGGCTTCATTTTCATCCAATACTAACCTAGCGAAGATGCCTGTATTACTAAAACTTCCAATTTCTAGCTAAGAAAAGTCATTCAATCAACCTACAAATCATTTCTCCAGATATTGGATTGTATTTGATCAAACAGGCAAAGATATAGAGAGTACCGCCAACAAAGAGTTTGGAGGCAACGCCACGGCGTTGAGTGAAGAATAATGAGGCGGGTGAGTTTATCAGGCCGGTGGATTTCAGGTGCCGGCCACCGATCCTTGCGAGCGCCGCCATTGAAGTGATCTCGCGAGAGGACTAAGCGCAAACAATGAGAAACTACGAAAAGTATGTGAATCGAGCAACCCGGGCCTGGCCCAATCCGAAGTCTGAAAATTCCGGTTATTTTATAGTATTGCCCAATACAACCTGAATATTTTTGGAATTATTACCAAGCTAGATCCTATAAAGACGACAATCTTTGAGGTTTTTTTTTTACAAAAAAATATAAATTTCAAACATTCATTCACCGACTATTTTAGCATTATTCTACACTTAAGAAGTGAAACCGGTTTATCTAAGTGCTATGAGTGACCATAATTAAGTTTAGTGTTTTATGTTTAGGATTTCATAGAGTTTGGTGTCTAGAAAGAAGAGTTCATTCACCTTAACTAATAAAATTTCAAGTTTATAACATGTAAACGAGATTAGTACAAAACAGTGAAACACAATACAGAGTCACCAGGAGCACACAATCACAATATAATTTCTTGCGTATAAACATTACACACAAAATGCTAAACCCTTAGCAATGTTTCTTCTTACGCTTAAAGAGTGTGTTGTTGAATTAGGACCCTTTGAGAGAGACGCCAGAGATGACGACAAGAATGGCTATAAAGGTGACTGAGGCAAATGCTGAGACAACAGATCCGCTCGTTTTCTGACAGAAATCTCCAAACTGTTGGCAGATCGCAAGCCAGTTTGTGTTCTGATTCCCATTGTGTGCCAAATACACTATAGCTGCTGCCGCGGAAGCAGCCGCAGTGCTCAGAACCAGAGCCACCTGTACACATCAACAAGAAAATCAGAGTGCTCTGTTATTACGGAAGCAACCATACATGATTGATAAATTTACGTTATAAATATAGCATCAATAGATCCAAGAGCTGAGGAAGATGAGTACAGTGTCAAGAACAAGCAAGAGGAGTCTCGGAGCGACGGCTAGAGGACGAACAATAGTGACGACTGAGATGGGAAGAGACAGGACAAGGTAACCTGCGACCATTGCAATAGCAATCACGAAGAACCTGAAAGAGAAAAAATAGAAGATTAGACTACTTGGTACACCAGAAAACACAGGACGAAAGAAGAAGAAAGCAAGCAGTATGTATCATACTGGAAAGTTGGAAGATCATCGTAGCTAGCTTGGAACTGTAAAAACTGAGTGAAGAAAGGGAGAGTCTCGTCACTAGTCCCCATTGTGGCAGCAGCAGCTAAGGCAGCAACAATGGCTGCTAAACGGAGCAGGAAATCGAAAATGGAGAGGCCTCTCTTGTAACCTCCTGAGCCAGTGTGGGCTAAACCTAGGAGAGGAGCTTTGCCTTTAATGGCTGAGCTGGACTCTGCAGGGACATCAACGGCGATGGAGTCACTCTTCATCTTTCTCTTTCTGACTTTTGAGAAATCTTCTTGAAGGATTTGTTTGGGGAATGGTGTTGGATGCTCTTGATGTGAATGTGATGGAATTAGGGGTTGGGGTTTTTATAGGGTTTAGGAATCCGTGGTGGACTTTGAAAATAGTAACAATGGAGTAGAGAAAGAGTAGTTTTTTATTTTCCCCAAGATGTGGAGTTGGCAACAAAGTTAAAGTCAACATGTAATTAAAATAATAACAACTGGATCGTCACATCATTTATCCCAAATTCAAGACTCATTTTAGTTGGTGGTGCCTCCATTTCCTCCCGTATTTAAAACTTTATTATTATTATTATTATTATCTTACCAAAAAAAAAGTTCAAAACCTTTATTCCAAGTTTCCAACCAATCAGTAGATCAGTAGGTCCAAACAGGAAAAACCAAAGAACTAAAAAAATTCATTCGCTACCAGTTCAACCAATAAGCTAAGTATATGACCTTGAGTTATTCAATTTTCAAAAAGATCGTTTACTTCCCAGCCCGAAATAAATAATTTTAGTCTATACTGATAAGAGAAAAGACTCTTACTCTGGAAAAGTTGTTCATGCCTCAATTTTCCATCCACGCGCCGCCAAATCTTGAATCACACGCTTCGCAGCTTCTGCATTATCGTTGAGAGGAGAGTAACTCCACTTCTCCAACATCTTGAGATATATGCAAATCCAAGTAGATATTAACGTCAGGATTCACCAAAAAAAAAAAAGAAGAGAAGGGTGTCACAGTGGAGTTCGAGTTATTGGAATTACATCTTCTTTTCCGGTTAAAGGTCGAACAGCTCCTCTTTCGTGGAGAGTCTTCTGGAAGTCAGAGAATTTCCATGTACACCGTTCAGCACCCACAACATACACTGGTTTCCTGTGTCGAGAATGAGATTTCAGTTTCAACTAAAGAATGAGAAAAGGAAAAGGTTGTTCTTCTCTTAAACATACCCGGTAGTACATGCCTCGCTCAACATACTTATAGAGTCAGCAGTTATGATAAAAGCATCGGCTAAAGCTAGATGCCCCAAATGCGGATTAGGGTCTGAGAAGTGGAAGAAGAGAAAGCATCAACCATTGACATGGTTAAGTTAGGAATAACAAAAATCGCTCACCTTTTCCATCCCAAATGTAGACCTTCGGGTTAGAGCTCAATTCTTTAGTTATGATTTCTGCAACCTGAAGAAAGATTGAGAAAACATGATGACCATCTGCTTCGCAAGAATGTGATATTCTAACGGGACTTTTACATACCTTCTTCGGTGTTCTTCTTGAGAAAGATATTCTTAGGCTTCCACAGCTCCAGAGGATATTTTGAAGCATACCAGACAATTTCTTAGCAAGATCAACACCATACAAACAGTTCCCTACAGAAAATTCACAAATTAAAACGTAGCAAGTTTAATCGCAGTCATAAATACAACTCAATAGACAGAGAGTACAATGTGTTTACTTGTAGGTCCTCCAATATTAACTACAATCAAAGGTTTTGATAACAAAGCAAACTCGTCTTTCCACTCCAAAGTAGCAACTCTCAGAGTAGAGGCGTCCACGTTATGAAGCGCGCCAGTAGTGAGGAGCTGGATTTCAGGATTCAAGTTTGTTATCAGCCAAAAAAATGACAACTACTTGCTATCAAATCATTTTAATGAACATTTCATAAGAGACATACCACATTTCTACCTGGAGGTTCACGTGGAGTTACCCACGGCCTGAGAAAGAAAGGAATTTGCCTCTTCCCCTCAGGTGTTAAGGAATAGTAATCATGACGAGGAGTGATCACTAGATCAAATCTCTCGAGACGCGACCTTGGATGTTGCACCTGGAACGGACAACTACCAAAATTTGGTAATTCAACCACAAAAAATATAGCTAAAACAACGAGAAAACAAAGACTATGAGGCCAAGATTTGGCATTTGCAGCTCACATGGAAAGAACTGCTAAAACCATCACACAAAACCCAAAAAAAAAAGCCATAGAACTTGGTTTTTCCATGGAAGAGACTTAACCTGAACAACAAAAACATACTCCATAGCTAATCGTCTTATGGAGCTTGCGACGGAAATAGTATCACGGCCAGATGCCACCACTAACAATGGGCCATTCCTAACAGAAGAAAGTTAGAATCTCAAAATTCTGAATAAAGCAAATCTCAATGGTCCATCGAGTCCAAAAATGCGATCGTCAATGTTCAAAACCAACCACTGAGACGATTCAAGACCACCTTGAAAAACTTGGTTTCGTGCAGCCAAAAGAAGATTAAAATGTAATACTGAAATCAATGAGCTTATAAGACAAAACAATACTTGGCAAACGTACTACGAGCCAAAGCAGCAATCTGCTTCGCATCAGCTACCTCAAACACATCCGTGATTCCTACAACCATTTATCAGGAAACAAATTACTGCCAAGAATTCTCTTGTTAGGTCTTAGTTTCACTCAAATTGAAAGATCATACAGCTTGGAAACAATTTTTCCAAAGTGTTAAGCATTCAATAAAATTTAAAGTTGTACCAGGTAATCCGCCTATGGAGAAAACGGACATCTTTGCTCTAATGGAGAACCCGGCACAGATAAAGCTGATGAAACGGTCTAGTCTTATGAAGAGAGAGATAGGAAGCCATTGAAGCCACCTATTGATTCCTCGTCTTGGCCTAGCGACACTCTAAGCAGGAAAACAAACTCGGAATACAGAGACACTTAACATCTCCGATGAAAGAAACCAAAAAAAAAACGAATAGTGTTTTTAGACGGAGATTACATAATAGAGGTGGCGATCGACGAGGCCTAAGGAGCGAATAAGGCCGATGCACTGATTCTCCGCGCCGGCGCAGCCGTTTCCGATCACAATAGCTCGTTTCACAGCGCGGAAAACACCTCCCTGGATATTATCCGATAAACCGGTGACGGAAAGTTCCGGTGGCTTTGTTGATCGCATTACAGAAGGATGAGTGACGAAGATTCAGCGATTCTTCGTTGAGAAAACTCAGTCAGTAAGAAGAAGTGAACCGAGATTGTCCAGTCCAGCCAGCTAGACCGAACCGAAATATAATGTGAAACAAATTGAAATCGGAATAAACCGAAAACCATTCTAGATTTCTGAACCGATCGAGTGCGTACGAGTAAGCGTTTTGTATTCTTTCCTTTTCTAGGTGTATCTCAAATGCTCAATCTTTCGAAATCGGATTCGTTCTTAGTGGAGAAAATCTGTTTCAGTTTGAACTTTGAAGCAATGATTTATGGCAATCAGAAATGTAACTCATAAGCATTAGAAATGGATACAGAGAAAGTGAGGAAACCATGAAAGAATAGTGTGGGAAGGAGATTACATAACATAGGGTGCGATCGAAATTAAGACCTAGGATCGAACAAGGCCGATGCACTGGTTCTTGACAAATAAAAAACAGATACTGAAATTGAATTTGTGTCCGAAATGTTTTTTTCTTGCTCTATGAGGTATTAAAATGTTAGAGCTTGTGAGAAAACTAAGGAAGAACGGTTAATGCGACAACGCCACTGACTGCCGCTGCAATAGCTCCGACCACAAATCCTGGTAGGTTCCCACCTCCAAACAAAGCATCAAATGGTCCACCTCCAAGTGACACGAACATTTGTGGTATCACAATTGCCAAATTCAATACTCCTAGAGAAAGCCCTGTACATTAGATAAAATTCGAGTTAGTTATAAATGTTTTTATAAACATGTTTGAATGATTATTATTAGTATTAAAGTAAAAATACCTTGACCGGCGCCGGAGTCGCTTGAGATTATGGAAGCTAATGCGAAAGGGATACTGAACGTAACCTATAATAATAATAAAAATAAATAAAGAGGATTAATTTGACTGATGAAAATAAATTAAACCAATGGATACTAATAATAGTAACAAAATGGAAAAGACAAGATAGACTTACAGCAAGAGGAATTCCAAGAATACCAAAGAGAGTCAACGCTCCAGCTCTAATGCCTTCGGTCGGACCAGCATACGGACCGGCAGTTTTCCGGTGAGCCTCAGCCAGCTTTGTAACCAAAACCGTCATGGCCAAACACACGGCGAGGATGAAATTCACAACTCCCCAGAGCCGTTTAGCTCCTCCCATTTTACGACCGATCCATTCAACGCCAAGAGACATGAATCCAAGAACGATCGCGTTTATCATCAATCCCAAAGCACCATTGTGTACTCCTTGGTTGTAAAGACTCTTCAATTTAGCGTCTCCTGATGAATCACCACCGTACACTTCACGACCCATCCAATCAGTATCGAACAAAAGAAATGGGAACCAAGCGATCCAGTTCAAGGCCGTGACGATTATAAGCATCCACATGGGACGTTTCATCACCCTGAAAGCTCCAAAGATCTCACCAAAGAAGGGAGTTTTCACGTCGGAGTCTCCTTTCTCCGGCGACCATTGTTTGTCTTTAACGTATAAGAGTGATGCTATGGTGAGGCCGAGGAGAAGGATGATGGAGATGAAGAAACAACTCTTGAGGTTCGCACAATAGATGTCGCAAGCGTTTGTCATCGTGAAAGGAAAGATCTTGTGGAGGTTAGTGTAGGATCCAGCCGCGTATCCCAAAACGTTTCCAACCGCCATGAAGAAAGAGAAAAACGCGTTTGCAGTCCGCGTTTTCCTTGCGTCTCCTGCGGCTAAGTCTGCGAGGAAAGCTCGGCAAGGTCCTTGGAGTGTGTTGTTAGCTACGTCGAGGATCCAGAACCCGAGAGCGAAGAACCATATGGCACGTTTCTTGATAGTCTGCTCGAGCTTGTCTCCCGTTAACTGGCCGAGATCAGCCGCGTATCCGATAAGGATACCAGCGACAGCGACGAGGACAGCACCGGTGGCAATAAAAGGACGACGACGACCGAATCTTGATGTGCATCGGTCGCTGTAATAACCTACGGTTGGCTGAACAAGCATGCCGGAGATGGGACCACATAGCCATATGAGAGATGACCATTTGTGTGGGATTCCGAGGAGCTGCACGTATGGAGTTAGAAGAGATAACTGTAAAGCCCAACCAAACTGTACACCGGCGGCGATTGAAGCCACCGATATCATTTTTCTCAGCGGCGATGGCTCACCAGTAACCGCCGCGGACGACGACGACGACTGCGTATCTAGAACCGTCGCATCTTTTGAAGGTGCTTCTACTTGGAGGGCTCCCATATCGATTTAGATAATGGGAATGAAGAGGATAGCAAATATCGATTCAGATAACTTTTAAATGTTTGTATTATGTTTTTGTGTGTTGGTGATGGAGGAGATGAGAGGATGGGATTGTTATATATAAGCAAGGTGAATAAGGAATGAGATGTTTATTTGAAAACTGTCAGAGATTATATTTTTGGAATGTTTTGTACAACTGAATTTTTGTTTGAAATCTCTGTCATAGCTGTTTTGGAAAGCAAATATTGGATATTATGCTGTAACTCCTATATCCTTATTAGATTGTTTTATTAATGGCAAGTCAAACGTTAATTATATCGGTAAAAAACTGCATTAACCAAATTCTGTTTAATCCATTTCTATCGAAATCTTTTGACAACAGACAGATTTTACTTAATTATATATGACATATTTCAGTTATTTTTAGTTTCTACTTGGAGGGCACTCATATATCGATCCGGGAAAAGAAAAGAGATTTTTGGTTTGTCGCAGTGGAAAAGAGTTGGCGATGAATGAGGTGTTTGCTTTAAATCTGCAAAGAGATTATCTTTTTAGGAATATATGTATAACTGAAAATATTCGTTTGAATTTGCATAATTTATGGTTCCATTGGCCCTGGAAAGTAAATCTTGCACACTTTGATATAATAACCTTATATGATTGTTTCAGTAATGGCAACGTAATATAGGTATTAACCAAAATCAATTTAACCATTTCCGGCGACATTTTTGACACGTGATAGACTTCACTTATACTGTATATGACAAATTTACAATTTTTGTTGGTTCTGCTAGATATGTTTTTTTGGTGTGTATTTGTGTTTTTTTCCCTCCATATTTCCATAGTTGATATTTCCGGCCCGATATATTTGTGGCGATCGTGTTATATGGGCCTAAAAACCATGGGCCTTGAATTCTATAGTCAAATGACGTGAAGAACATTGGATTAGGGTAAAAAGTCTCCCATATATATTGTATATCCTCGCTTCTCTTCCCAATTCTAAGTATTGGCATCAAATTAGGGTTTATGTTTTCAATCAAATTCTTTTCATTTCGTTTGATTTTCGCGCAGCCCTTAAGATCGCCTTCCACAAATGCTCAATGGAAGCGTGTCGAGTCATAGTTGCGCCAAATCGAATAATTTTATAGGGTTTTTTTCATTAGGGTTCTCCTAAGATCAATCCCGTCAATTTCCTTCCTGATTTTTTCTCAGCCCGAGTCGTTTTTCGGCATTAGGATCTGGATTTCCAGATTCTAATTCGAGCCTCTAGTAGCTCGTGCTTTATAATCTGGTAGGATACATGTTTTTTCTTTTTGAATTGTGTTTTGTTTTCTTTCAAAGATCAAACGGCGAGGATGATGATTAAATTAGATGTGCGAATTGGGGGTAATTTCCTTTTAATGAGCTTAAAACTTTTTGAGGCATATTCATATATCTGACATCGCCGTCTTTTTTTATAATATGAAAAAACCATAATTTTTTATTGTGATTTGTTTGTTACAATGGTGGAAAAATGAGGAACAAATTAAGTGTGAACCAGGACGTGATGTCCTGAAACCATGAGCCACAATTTTAGCTTATTGATATTCTGATTTCACCATTGAAATGTCCTATTACGGTTTTGTAGTTTTGCTTGGCCCCAATATGAGTAAATGATCCAATTTGAAGTTTTTGTTCCCATGAAATGGGTTACCTTTTCACTGGATGTCATATAAGAGGACTATTCACAAGGAAATTTCTATAAACGATAACAAAGAAATCATCATCATAAATTGTTCAATATCTAGTACGTAAAATGGAAATCACAAGTCTAAAAGGACAGAATAAGACAAAATGCAAGACTAACGTATAAACCAACTTTGGAAGGATAACGGTGATACATCGAATAACAAAGGAAGAGACTTGAAACCAAAATTCACAATAGAATTTAGATTTGCTTGAACAATATATCTCGTATTCTTCGACTGATGCAATCAGATCAAAGGAAATAAAAAAATAATTTGAACATATCTAGAACCTAATTGTTTGTCTTTATCTAATTAAGAAGTCTAAACTCACATCGAAATCCCTACACCGTATCCCATCTACCTCAGTAATTTACTAAATCCCTTTAAAACCAACTACTTCTTAACCAGTATTAGTGGCAAGTTCCCAACGTAAACTTGAAGAAGTTCACTCTCGTCTTCAAGTAAAACCATCATATTTCTTCAGTTCGCCAGATTCCAAATTCAAGAAGCTTGCCAGATCAAGGTTCTTTTTTTTTGGGTCAAAACCTGATCAAGGTTCTTTAAATATGTATTTTACAGCAACATATCTTAGTGAACTCATAATAATTGAAAAGGGCCACTAAGCCCATTTCATCCAAAATTCAAATTTTTAACCAATAATAATATAACTATTGAACCGAAACTGAAACACAAACCGTCTACAAGGAAAAGCCCAATACACAAACCCGATTTTTAGTTTTAATAAGATTGTTGTTATTTTACGTCAGGCTTATCGAAATATTTCCGGCGAGACTCCACTCGACTCGACTCGACTGAGATAAAGGAAAGAGATTGGATTTAGTTAGGGTTTCGGTTTAGTCTCCAGGAAAGCGAAGGAGAAGAAGAAAAAAATCCGAAGCCAAGGTCTGTAGAAGATGTCGTCGACTCTCCTCGAGCAAACTCGTTCCAATCACGAGGAAATTGAAAGATTGGAGCGATTGGTTGTGCAAGATCTACAGACCCAGCCGCCGTCGAGCAGGGACAGATTGGTACAGGGCCACCGTGTTCGCGGCATGATTGAGTCTATTATGCTCAACACCGAGAAACTTGTACGTTTTTCTTCTTCTTATTCTCCTCAGTTTATTTTGCTTAGGTTTTATTGATTAGAATAGACGCATTTGTGTTGTGTTATGTCGTTTCTCTTCTGAAAGCGTAAGATTGCCTAAGCTCTTTTGGCTACCATGTGGAAATTTAGGTTAGGTTTTGAATCTCTTTTTTGTTTTTTTGTCAACAGGTTTTGATTCTCTCTGAATGTGTGTTAAAATGGAGTGTACACTTCAGAGGTTGGTTTCGAATCTAGATTATCGTTGGGGGTCTTATTCTTAAGTGTGTATGTAGGGATCTTAAGCTTTTGAGCTAAGCATGCTTCAGTAGAAAAACTTATATTTCACCCCTTGCATTCTAAATGCCACATTAGTCTTATCGCTAAATTACTTTTCGTTCTCTTCAGTAGATGCATTGGGGTTAATGCTAACCTTGATTCTTTGTTGGTTGAAGGTTGAAACCTATGAAGATAAGGATGGGGCGAGGGAAGATGAGATAGCAGCGCTTGGTGGCCAGAATGCGACGGGGAAAAATGTGTATGATGCATTTTATGATCGTTTTAAAGAGGTTTGCTCTCTATCCTTTTGCATCTTCCTAGGTCTGTTTTTTTCCTCATAATTCACCAAGAAATAGGTTTCAGTTTATCTCTCTGGGTAGGGTAGCTTTCTCAAAGAAAGAGCAGCTTACTTTACAAGACTACCGCTTAATCGAAATTGAGATATCTAGCTAACTCTCGATCTCTCCGTTTTTAATTTCATTGATTATCTTCAACCGCTGGTGATGTACAAAAACTCGGTGAAATTGTGTTAGTTCTGTTCCATTAACAATGTTGGTTAGCTGTATCAAATGGTGAACTTTTCACAGGTTAATATGGATTTATATCTAAGTAGAGTTCAGCCTCTGAACGAGATTCACAATTGGTAGTTTTGATGTTTCATGGGAGTCATTATGATTATAATGTTGATCAACTGAATTCCTAGTCTTTATTCTACCACTAATAAATGATTAGATATGCAACTAATGAGCTTATTTTATTAACGTGTAGATACGTGACTATCATAAAAAGCATCCTTCTGGACGTCTTGTTGATGCTAGTGAAGACTATGAAGCACTCCTGAAGGTGGAACCAGTTATTGCGTTCAGTGGAGAGGTAAGTTTCTGTTTGACTTTTTATTTTTTTCGGATTAAGATTTTCTTATTTGAGAACATTTCCTTGACCATTTTAACAGAGTATTATTAGTTCGTTACTCGTTAAATCCTCTTGTGTGTTGTACAGGAAGGCGTTGGTCGGTACTTGGACTTGCATGATTTGTATAACCAGTACATCAACTCGAAATTCGGGCAAAGGGTTGAATATTCTACTTACCTTGATGTTTTTTCTCAACCTGAGAAAATACCCCGTAAACTAAAGTTTTCAAGGTAAGCATTTCATTGAATTTTCTTGTACTTAATAGCCTCGATCTTTGTTTCTACTTGCAGCTGAATGCCTTTTCTTTTTGTCTTTTAGGCAATACAGGAAGTATATGGAGGCTCTGCTAGAGTACTTGGTGAACTTTTTCCAGCGAACCGAGCCTTTGCGAGATCTTGACAAAATACTTTCTACGGTTTAACTTCCTCTCTTTTTTTATATTTATATTGTGTTCAACTTGTTGCCTTATGGAACTATATGGGTGCTATGAGCTAATGCTTTATTACATATCCGGTATGCTATACGTGTCTAAGAGCTCTCTATTAGTTAGTAGTTGGGATTTTCTTAGCTCTAGCAACTTGTTGCTTTATGGGTGTTCCATCGCACTGAACAATTACATGTTTTGGAAAGTAAATAGCTATAACTAGATGATGCTTGTTTTGGAAATTCAATGGCCATATCTAGAGATTTTATATATCATGGGTAGTTTTTGAACCATATTATAGTTTGGCATTCTAGTTTTGGCGATGCTGTGCATATATTTTGATCTCGTGCGATTAATATGTTGGTTTCTTTTAGGCTGAGACTGATTTTGAAGAGCAATACGCAAATGGAAAAGTAGAAGGCTGGGAGAAGGATAGCCAGGAAAGCGAACCATCGCAGCATACTGTCATAGATCTTGATTACTACACCACAGTTGAGGAGCTGATAGATGTGGGACCTGAGAAACTAAAAGAGGTAATGACTATTCTTCATGTTTCTATGATCCATGCAACATCATTCCCCTAACTGTGTTTTTATGTCATTCAGGCGTTGGGGGCTTTAGGACTGAAAGTTGGTGGTACTCTGCAGCAGCGTGCGGAGAGACTTTTCCTGACAAAGGTTCTTGCACTTATTCATCTTTCATGGAAACGCATTTTGTTTTTAGTTTGTCTTATGATAGTGCGGCGTATTTTCTACATCTTATTAATAGTGCTGCTGTTTTTGCTGGGGTTTGGTAGGAACATTTTACTGTCATGGAATTTAGTTCGGTAGTTAGATTCAGTTCTTCGTTTAATATAAGTCCATGTTATTAGAGATAGAATTCTGTTTGAATCTTGCGTTATTACCTGGAGGTAATCTTATGCCATTAATTATTTCAATTTCTGTTCAGCATACACCTCTGGAAAAGCTGGATAAGAAACATTTTGCCAAACCTCTCTACAATGGGAAACAAAATGGAGATGCCAAAGCAACGCAGGAGTCTGAAAGTGCTAAAGAAATTGCACTAATAGAGGCTAAATTGAAAAAGCTCTGCAATTTACTGGATGAGGTTAGTTGATTGAAGTGCCTACTTACATTTTTCTTGACGAGCTTATCTATATTCTAGTTTCGCTTTTAACTTTTCTTGCTGTCGCCTTTGTTTATAGACAATCGAAAGGACCAAACAAAACGTTGTAAAGAAACAGGCTTTGACGTATGAAGAGATGGAGGAAGAGCGCGAGGGTGAGGAAGTTCGTGCAGAATCAGAAAGTGATGATGAGGACGATCAGATCTACAATCCGCTGAGGCTGCCAATGGGCTGGGATGGGAAGCCTATACCATACTGGCTTTACAAACTTCATGGACTTGGCCAGGTATGTAGTTTAGTTATTAGACCAGTGTTGTTAAAGGAAACAGAGTCAAAATTAAAAATCTTTAATTTGTTATCTTGCAGGAGTTTAAATGTGATATATGTGGGAACTATAGCTATTGGGGAAGAAGGGCTTTTGAGAGACATTTTAAAGAATTTCGACACCAACACGGAATGCGTTGCCTGGGAATCCCAAACACAAAGAACTTCAACGAAATCACTTCGATTGAGGTATATATATGATTAAAGACTCCGTTTGTAGCTTAAAGCAATAAAGTTGGGTCATTTGATTGATCTGTGATTTGTTATGGTTTGTTACAGGAAGCGAAAGAATTGTGGAAGAAGATACAGGAGAGGCAAGGAGTGAACAAATGGAGGCCAGAACTTGAAGAAGAATATGAAGATCGTGAAGGTAACATATACAACAAGAAGACTTACACTGATCTTCAGCGTCAAGGTCTCATCTGACTGATCACATACTTCGGTTTTTAAGGGTCTCTCTACTTGATGAACTTATTCCTTCTTTACTGTATCGCTAAAACATTTCCACCTTTCTACTTTGTAAAATCAAACCATTCGTCATCCATCTTTTTGTGAATCACCGGTTTTCAATTTTCCATTTAAACAGTGCCGAGATTTAGATAAGCTCGAATTTGGTCTTATGTTTCTAATTAACTACAGTGTTAAGGATCGTGGATGTACCATACTGTTTTCGTTTGGATAATGGTCGTAACGAAAGTGGGCAGACCACTTCGAGAATAATTAAAAATAGATAAATTAATAATGAAGAAGAAGTTAGAAACGCAAACTCATGTCATTGCTATTCTTCTAGTTGTTTAATTACTCACAAAATGTGTGATAAAAACAGATGCAATCTCATACGACTCGACAAAACGAAGCTATAATAAAGCGTTCTTTAGAACCTTATTAGTTTATGCGTTATATTGAACCTTTACATACATAGTTGTTGTGTACACGAAGAACATGCAGTTGAGAAATAACAGAGATTCAGAGAACATACAAATCTCATTTAGGAAAGAAATATTGAAATATATACCTTCCTTGGCCTTCTGGCTAAGTATATACATTTTTTTATTATTTTTATTAAGATGTTGGAATGGGCCTACCTTTTTTGCACAGTCCAACGCCCATTTAGGAGAGACGATGATAGATAGTAATTCTCCGGTGCCAGCGCATACCAACTTCGTAGACTGTCTATCCACCGTTAGATCTAAAACCTAATCATCTAACGGCTACAAATGGAATCCCCAAAAATATGACCGTTGGAATTGAACCGTTGGCTCCTCTTCATAAGAAGCGCTCTCTTACATTCTTTTTCATAATCTCACTTCTCACAGACTCTTTACGAAGAGAGAAAAGCAAGACGAAGAAACAAGAAGACTAAGAATCAGTAGGAGAGCGATCATGGCGACGAGAGCTAACATGCCTGAACAAGTCAGAGGTATCTTCTTCGCCTTTTTTTATTTATGTATTTGGGCTTTCATTGATATTGCCGTTCTGAATTCTATGAATCGATTTGTTTTTATTGGATGTTGTTTGATCTGATACGATTTGCTTGTGAGATCTTTGCTTTTTCGTTAATCGTCGATTTTAAATCTGGGTTTGGTTTGATTGGATTCGTTTCTTTCGAGTTGAACTCGTCTGCCCTAACTCGGTCCCGATTTGATATTCTTTTGACTACTCGTCGACGATACAGATCCGGTTTGAGATGAAGTTCTTCGCTATTTTCTTTATCTTAATTTATTTATTTGCGGAATTGAACTGTAACTAGAATATAACTTTTGGTTCGAATCGTGACGATGCGATTGTGGAACCAATGCAATTGAAGATCAGATCTTGATGGGTTTCTTTTGGATTCTCTGAAACAGGTGTTCCCGTCGCGGATGGTGTTAAGATTCAGAACAAAAACGGTGCCGTGAAGAATCGTCGCGCGCTCGGCGACATCGGAAATCTTGTTTCCGTTCCCGTAGTTCAAGGAGGAAAGCCCCAACCTCCGATTAATCGACCCATAACCCGAAGCTTCCGTGCTCAGCTATTAGCGAATGCCCAAATTGAGAGAAAACCAATCAATGTTGACAACAAGGCTCCGGTTCCTGCCCCAAAGAAACGACAACCTCTTGCTCCAAGAAACCAGGAAGCTCAAAGGGCGATCTCGAAGAAGAACCTAGTGATTAAGCCTGAAGAAGTGGTTGAGCCAAAGAAGGAGGAGAAGCGAAAGGACGTAGCAGCAGCGTCACCTAAGAACAAGAACGTGACTTACTCATCAGTTCTCAGTGCTCGGAGCAAAGCTGCATGTGGTATAACCAACAAGCCAAAGATTCTCGATATTGATGAATCTGACAAAGACAACCATTTGGCTGCAGTGGAGTACGTTGATGATATGTACTCTTTCTATAAAGAAGTCGAGAAGGAGAGCCAGCCGCAGATGTATATGCACATTCAGACCGATATGAATGAGAAGATGAGAGCCATCTTGATAGATTGGTTACTGGAAGTTCACATCAAGTTTGAGCTTAACCTTGAAACTCTCTACCTCACTGTCAACATCATTGATCGATTCCTTTCTGTGAGAGCTGTCCCCAAAAGAGAATTACAGCTAGTGGGAATCAGTGCCTTGCTCATTGCTTCCAAATATGAAGAGATCTGGCCTCCGCAGGTACGGTTTCTTCAACAATTCTACTTGTGTTTGTATGTTACTGTGATCTGATTATGATGATGATAACCTTTGTGTATTGTGTAGGTTAATGATTTGGTGTATGTCACGGACAATGCTTACAACAGCAAACAGATTCTAGTGATGGAGAAAACCATCCTTGGAAACCTCGAATGGTATCTGACAGTCCCAACTCAATACGTCTTCCTTGTCCGCTTCATCAAAGCTTCCATGTCTGACCCAGAAGTGAGTCCGTTTTCGCCTAAAAGTTCTGCTTTTTCTTACAATTTAGGTTGGAAAGAGACTGATTTTGTTTTTGTTTGTTGTCTTTCAGATGGAGAATATGGTTCACTTTCTCGCTGAGTTGGGGATGATGCACTATGACACCTTGAAGTTCTGTCCCTCCATGCTTGCTGCTTCAGCTGTTTACACAGCGAGATGCTCACTGAACAAGTCCCCTGCTTGGACTGATACCTTGAAGTTCCACACTGGCTACTCAGAGTCTGAGATTATGTAAGAACAGAAAAGACTTTCAAATATCATCATCTGTTTTGTTTTTATTCTCTCTTCATTGGTAGAGAGACTTACTTATATGGATTTTTCTTTGTTGTGTTATAGGGATTGCTCAAAGCTTCTAGCTTTTCATCACTCGAGATGCGGAGAGAGCAGATTACGTGCTGCGTACAAGAAGTACTCTAAGATAGAGAAAGGAAGTGTTGCTCTGGTGTCACCAGCCAAGTCTCTCTTGAGTTCTGCTGATTTGAAGAAGCCTCTTTCTGCTTAGTGGCGTTTTTCTTTTGGAAAACAGAGTCAGACATGAACAAGCAATTGTGTTTTTTTTCTACATCAGATCTCTCTCTGATTCAATTTTAGATTCGATCGACTTTATTACATAATAACTCTTTGTTATGAGTTCAAACTTATTAATGAATTCTTATCAGTGATGTTTTCTACTAATCCTCCTTGGAAACTTTCTGTATTGGTTTCTACTTTTTTTCATGACTAATTAGATAAACTTTCCATGTTTTCGGTTGACTATCTGTTCCAGGCTATCTTCCAACGAATCGTATGTTACTTAATTAAATGGAAAAGTACAAAATAATTTTAAAACCAATTGTCGTCATTTAATCCAAAATAAAGCTATATCAAATATATATTCTCTACAATAAAATTAGAATATGTACATCTATTTAACCTCCCTAAAGTTTTTAATTCAGACTATTCTAAAACAGCACAATTTTTTTACCGAGATTATATCATTTAAAAAATAAGAAATTTACTACAAAAGATATTAATTTCAATGCATAATTATGTGTTAAATCAGTTTCAGAAATTTTGTTTTTACCAATTTTAATTTTCTTTTTCTTTTATCTCTTATGATCTATTTTTTTTGTCAAGAACCTATATGATCTCATTTAATAAAAATTCTTACAAATTTTAATTTCATCAAATCTTATTTGTTAAAATATGGCGAAATCTTATTTGTGGAGTAAAATTCGGTGTAAAGCTATAATCCGACTCTTAGACGGCTTTCTTGCTTGTGCACCGAACGTTGCACAAAGGCACAAACACGTGAAGAATTACTAAACCTGCCACTAGAAGAAATTTTGACTAAACCGGTTTTTGATCTCACGGGTTGTTTCATGGAGAGCACGGAGCAGCCGAGGAGCATTTCGGGATCGATGCAGAGCCCTAGATCTCCTTCTTCGCAGCCTTATTTGTCAGTCTCCGTCTCCGATCCTGTCAAATTAGGCAATGGCGTACAATCTTACATCTCTTACAGAGTCATCACTAAGGTAGATCCTTCTTCAACCCTGATTTCGTAGCTCTCAGGCCTAGGGTTTCTATGTCAAAATCGGGTAATATTAAAGCACGGTTCGCGGATTTTCTTGTTGCAAGCTATCAAATTGTATGATAAGCTGCTCGAATTTGGGTATTTCTCTGTAATTATATTATTTTTCCGGCAGACCAACTTTCCGGATTATCAAGGACCGGAGAAAATTGTAATCAGACGATACAGTGATTTCGTCTGGTTGCGAGATCGGCTTTTCGAGAAATACAAGGGCATTTTCATTCCTCCGCTCCCAGAGAAGAGTGCTGTAGGTAAATTAGCTAGCTTTCTTTTGCTCCCTATCTATTTGAACTCATTATCTAATTGAGTCGAAAATATTCTTCGTTGAGTGATGGATTTCAGAGATTATTGTCTGTCAAAGTTGTTATCTGGGTATCCTTGTTCAACTAGCTTAGGTTAATTATCAGTTCGAGGGTTCTGTTAGATCTTCATTGCAGTGGTATGAGTCACTATAGTGGGAATATGTGTTTATTGATACTCTTTTTGGGCAGAAAAATTCCGGTTTAGTGCCGAATTTATTGAAATGAGGCGAGCAGCATTGGATATATTTGTTAATCGGATAGCATTACACCCTGAGCTTAAGCAGAGTGAGGATCTTAGGACCTTTTTGCAAGCAGATGAAGAGGTAGGATATCTGGACTTTACATTTCTGGCGATTTTTTGGTTATTTACATTTTCCTCCACTTCATCTTTACTATAGAATGCTCACAAATTGCATTTATTTCCTTCCTGAGGACTGCAATTTGCATTGTAGGAGGTTTTCGTCTTTGATTGACAGTTTACTTTGCTCTTCAGACAATGGAAAGATTCAGGTTTCAGGAAACTGGAATATTCACTAAGAAGCCTGCAGATCTAATGCAAATGTTTAGGGTAAGCCTGATTTCTCCTGACCATGTAAAAAATATTTTCAACATCACACAATACCCGGTAGCGGATAAATGTTGGGCTGCTACTAGGAAGTTTATTATGAATTTCAGCTTGTGGAGCCACTGCCGGACATAATAGATCACTATTCTCTGGCACTGATTAATGGTTTCATGTCCTAGCGAGGTGTAACCTGGCATTTCGTGCCTTTAATTCTTCATATTGTTAAAAGTTATAACTACAAGCGGTGAAAGCTGCCATTATGGTTACTTGGCTATACCGTAGTTGGAAATCAATAACGCAAAGTCGAGACTTCTTAAATGTGGAATTTATTATTCATTTGCTCCATTATCTTACTGCCATATTTGCACAATTTACAGGATGTGCAATCAAAAGTAAGTGATGCTGTCCTTGGAAAAGAAAAACCTGTCGAAGAAACTACTCCTGAATATGAGAAGCTTAAACACTACATTTTCGAGCTCGAGAACCACTTAGCTGAGGCTCAGAAGCATGCATATCGCCTCGTCAAGAGGCATAGAGGTAATACCAATATATCATAAGTCAGAATTTAATCAATAAAAACTCTCATATATTCCAGTTTTCTGATTCATGAATGGATCTTCAAATTTAATGTTTTTTTGACCTGGTGGCAGAGTTGGGTCAGTCACTGTTGGATTTTGGCAAGGCTGTAAAACTTCTGGGGGCTTGTGAGGGTGAACCTACAGGGAAAGCATTTTCTGATCTTGGAAGTAAATCCGAACTGTTATCAATTAAGCTCCAGAAAGAGGTACTTATTTTGTAAGACTAAACTCTCTGCTAGGCATAAAGCATATTCTTTCATCTTTTTTCCACTATAGTAAGATGATGTATGTACATTGCCACATTTGCATAAATGCTATTATTCTACTGCTGTAAGATGCTTTTATTGATCTACCCTACACTATTTGTAGGCTCAACAAGTCCTGATGAACTTCGAGGAACCCTTGAAGGACTATGTTCGTTATGTGCAATCGATTAAGGTGAATCCTCTAGCCTTGGCTTTTGGGATTGGATTCCCTTGCCCGGCTGCATTTCACGCACCACATGTCTGGACATTAAACCCTACCTTCTTGTTTCCATTTTGTGTTTATCCAGGCGACAATAGCAGAACGAGGCACTGCGTTCAGGCAACACTGTGAATTAGCAGAAACAACAAAGTTAAAGGAAATAAACCTGTATGATGGCTTCTATCCCGTACCTTCTCTCTGTCAATAAGATTACCTTGGAACATTTAATTAACTCTCCTCTGTTATTGCAGTGACAAACTTATGCTCACACGTTCGGACAAAGTAGGAGAAGCTGAGATCGAATACAGAGAGGTAACAACAAGGCCAACTTAATCTTTGTAAAACTGATTTCTCTTGAGCATGGCTTTTTGTTGGTGCTTACTGCTTATACTCGCGACAATAATGCACAGATAAAAGCAGAGAGTGAGGAGGCTACGGAAAGATTCGGGAGGATAGTGAAGCGAATGGAGGAGGAGATAGTGAGGTTCCAAGAACAGAAGACGGAAGAGATGGGAGTCGCGTTCCATCAGTTTGCCAAAGGACAAGCTCGCTTAGCAAACAGTATTGCTGATGCCTGGAGATCTCTTCTTCCCAAACTTGAAGCTTCTTCGTCTGTTTAAATCATCAAAACTTGTGTATGCGTGTTGGTTTCTAACAATTTCTGGTGTTTTTGTCGACTTCAACGTTAGTTAACTTGGCTCGTTTCCTTCCACTTGTAAAGATATAAATGCATTACTTCCATGTAACTTTTTTAAATTCTAGATTATGATTTTCCCACATAACTTATTACGTATGTTGAAACTATAGATCTCAATCAAGTCATTTTACGATTGAAATATTGTTGAAGTGATGTTGTTGATGAGCTGTGCAGTGAAAATATTCGACAAAGCACTATGTAATAGTCTTTATAGAGCATAATCAAGATTTTTTTTTGGTGGTTTTTACTTTTTCAATTTTCAGCTTACAAATAGTGGTCGAGTGCTAGTGTGATGAATGATTACGCGGTAAATTAGTTGTTGAGCCACCAAAAAAAAAGAAAAAAAAAAGAGTCACCTTTTAGATCATTCGGAGGGTTTCTCACAGTCTCAGCCAAAAAAGTGGCGTAGCTTTGGATTAGCCCAATCCAAAGACGATTTGACAAAGGAAAGCGTAGCCGAGCAGATGAGATGACGTGCTTCTCTTCTTCTGCTACTCCTCATTGCCGTCATCTTCTTCTTCCTCCTCCATCGACTTCCAAATCACTGCTCGTATTCCCCTCATCCTTTCTCAAATCTTCCCCTCATCCTCTCTTACATGGCTCATCTCGCTCTATCTTCTCCTGTTCTGCCGGCAGCAACAACGGACCTCCTCCCGCCGGTGACCCTGTTCCAAAGCAAGTTTTTTTCTTTTTCTTTTTATTCTGATTCCTCTTTTGTTTTATTCTCACCTGGAAATTTTTCTAATCGCAGTCTACTGTTTTCGAATCCGAAGTTTCCTCTGCGAACTTTAGATTAACAATTTCTCATTTCGATTATGTAATTATTAATGATTTTCCCTTGCTTTCAGTAACTTCTGTATCATTGAGGGATCAGAGACAGTCCAGGATTTCGTGCAGATGCAGCTTCAGGAAATACAAGATAACATAAGGAGTAGACGCAATAAGATCTTTCTCCTCATGGAGGAAGTGAGGAGGTTACGAGTTCAGCAACGGATCAAGAGCGTCAAATCCATCAATGAGCACAGTGAGCTCGAGGCGGCCGAGATGCCCGAGATCACTTCTTCCATTCCTTTTCTCCCTAACGTGGTCAGTTACTTACACAGTAGACACTTCCTTGTTGCGAAAATGTTCTCTTCTTGATCAGCTATGAACTTTCCTACTTTCTAACTCTTTGTCTGTGTTTTTCTCTGTGAAAAAAAATAGACACCAAAGACTTTGAAGCAACTCTACTTGACCAGCGTTGCATTGATATCGGGAATCATTTTCTTTGGTGGTCTGATTGCACCTAACGTAAGTTCAATTATAGAGTCCACTTTTCCTCTGTTACGCTCTCTTATGGCAAATATTTAAGCTCGGTATTTGTTTGTGATCCCTTGTTTGAGTCAGTACTTTTTACATTGCCATCGCATTTTACCACCACTCTTGGAAACCTATTAATCTCGCATTTATGCATTGATATTGGGTTCTTTAAGCTAGATGCAACTAGTTTCCCGGCCATTCTGCATGATCCATACCGTAGTTAGTGAAGGAACTAATGACACATCAAAATGAAAATACATGCTTTTTGTTGATAGCAATACAGGTTTTTGAAGATACATGCGATAGTACTCTGGCTTTCTATCGAGCTTTGTTTCTGTAACTCTCACAGAAACACTAGAGCTATGCTTAAACATGCAGATTACTATAGAATCATGCCTTCTTGAACGCCAGTTATTAGTTATTCGTGACTCTTGGCTTTTATTATTCTTGAATGAAAAGTGATGATTTTTAAATTGGTAGCTGGAGCTCAAGGTAGGACTAGGAGGAACCTCGTATGAGGATTTTATAAGGAGCTTGCACCTACCCCTGCAATTAAGGTACTGTTACTAGTTAAATTGATAGTGGACCAGTGTGCATCAAACCACTATGATTGAAAATACTACCAAATTTTTCAACTTTAGTGGTCCTGAATCTAAAACAGCGACATAGAAATATGATACCTTATCCTTTGTGTTGTAATCTAGCCAAGTAGATCCCATTGTGGCATCTTTTTCTGGCGGAGCCGTGGGTGTCATTTCGACCTTGATGCTAATCGAAGTTAACAACGTCAAACAACAAGAGAAGAAGAGGTGCAAGTACTGCCTTGGGACTGGTAATTAATAAATCAATCTCATGGATTAATAATGAAAATTCTTGATTTTTTTTTTTCTTCAAACAACTTCTTAAATGGTTTGTGTTTGCTTGATCCCTTCCTAAAGGATACTTGCCATGCGCTCGATGTTCAGCAAGTGGTGTGTGCTTAAGCATTGATCTCATTAAACGACCTAGAGCTTCATATCGGCTTTTGCAATCCCCAACAACAGTAAGGTGTCTAAATTGTTCCGGCGCAGGAAAGGTAAAGATGTCTAAACAACATTTCATCCAATCCGATCTGAGTGTTTATGCTTCTTGTGATGCCAAATTTGTGTATCTGTGTATGAATCAGGTGATGTGTCCGACATGTCTCTGTACTGGGATGGTCACTGCTAGTGAGCACGACCCACGATTTGACCCGTTCGACTAGAAAACAACGACCTCACCTTTGAACTTTAGGTTTTTTTTCTATGTACATTTGTCGTTCAAAAGGCTATGCCAAGACTCTGAACTAAGGAGATCCAACCTCGTCAAATAAATGTTTACATAGTAAAAAAAAAGTTAGAATCTATAACTTTGGGGTAAAGCATAATAAATAGTAAACTTCAGAAAGTATCGATTATGTAATGAGACGACATTGGAGAGAATTAACATGCGAGCAATCGGTTCGACATGGAAATCTCTGATTCAAACCGGAACCACACCTCTTCAAGGTTCCAAACGTGTGATTTATCTTCTCGGAATCAAATGCAAGAAAGAAAGATAGGCTTAAAAAGCATAATGCATCAACACAACAAAAAGGAGGAACAAAAGCGTAAAGCAATCAAAACTTATGTTCAGTAAGTTGTTCAACCCAACAATTCTCGGAATATGAAAAGAGCCATCAAAACCTTTAGACTAGTTCTTGTTCTTGTCAAGCTCTTCCAACTGTACACCAGTAAATCTTCAAAAAATGTTTGATATCATCTAAAAAAGTGTTATCGTTGATCTCATAGCCATCAGGAAGACGATAACCTTCTCTGTCACAAGAAAGATGTAAAAGTGATTTCCTGGTTTTAAATTGTTTGAAACTTAGAGGAAATCACAACAACAAGACAGTTTGGCCGAGTGGTCTAAGGCGCCAGATTTAGGCTCTGGTCCGAAAGGGCGTGGGTTCAAATCCCACAGCTGTCAAAAATTTTAGTTTGTAAATTTTTGTTTTCCTCAATACGTTATCCGGGGCCTTTACGTCAATTACTAAAGCCTTCCTCATCAAAACCCTCCTAATTTTATAGAGAAGCTCGTCGCCGGTAATTTCCTCTTTTCGTTTCCTCTGTCAGCTCTCAACGAAGAAGAAGGAAGAAGGTCCCAAAGCCGTACCGTCTACTTCTCATCCCTGTGTAGCTATGGTAACCACTTCCTCTCCATCTCTTTTCTACTCAATGGAAGTTCTTTAATCTCAATTTCGAATTGTAGCTTGATTCCGATACTCCGACAATTGTTTGTTGTCTTTAGCACTCTTATCTATTCCGTAAATTTTCGAGGTTGTGTTACTATAAGCGACGTGAATAAACTTGCTGAAGTTATTTCTTTTCAAGCATTGTGGAAATTTTCAATAGATAAGTCTGATTCATAGCCTTAACAGAGAGTAATTTTGCTTTGTTCTCTGTCTGTGTATGTGTGTGTTGAAATAGTCGAGGAGAAAGACGAGAGAACCCAAGGAGGAAAATGTCACTCTGGGACCTGCCGTACGTGAGGGTGAGCAAGTCTTTGGAGTTGTTCATATCTTTGCATCCTTCAATGACACATTCATTGTAAGTTTCTCATCATTTGTCTTGTTTTTATGGAAGCTGAGCTGAATATATAATACATGCCTGTGTGCATTACAATCACCTTAATCCTTTTGAATTTTGATTTTTTTGCAGCATGTGACTGATCTGTCTGGAAGGGAAACTCTCGTTCGTATTACTGGTAAGGTCCCGATCCTTGTCTTTGTTAGGCATATACATCTCAGATATCCTTACCTTTAATAAAGTTGGTTTTTTTTAGCCAACAGTTTATTGCAAAGCTCTAGTCATTATTCTGTTTGGTGGATTTCAATCTCTTAAAATCAGTAGATGGACTTGTTAATAGATTCTTTAGCTTGGTGTTGTATTAATTTGGCTTAATTCCTTTGATATGTGAAATTTGCAGGTGGAATGAAAGTAAAAGCTGATCGTGATGAATCCTCTCCTTATGCTGCTATGCTTGCAGCTCAAGATGTTGCTCAAAGATGCAAGGTTTGTATTACTATACTTTTGAGCTGTTTTTTTTTTTTTTTCTTTTCAACATTTGTTGTTTTGTGTGTGTGGCTTTTCGACCATCTGGTAAATTTACTTGTATCAGGAGCTTGGCATCACAGCCATGCATGTGAAGCTGCGTGCCACTGGAGGAAACAAGACCAAGACTCCAGGTCCTGGTGCTCAGTCAGCCCTCCGAGCGCTTGCTCGTTCAGGCATGAAGATTGGTCGCATAGGTAACTTCTATCTCTTGTTGTGAATCCTCAAGAGTAACTTCAATTTAGCCTCGGGAAATTTGGATTTGACCTGCCAGACAACTTGTGTTTTCATGACCCATTAACTAAAACTTTTCCAGTGTATTGCAGAGGATGTGACACCAATTCCAACCGATAGTACCCGTAGAAAGGGTGGTAGAAGGGGAAGACGTCTGTGATTTTTTTCTCACATGTCTCCTCATTCCGTTTGGTTGCTTCTTCTAAACTCGCCAAATCTTGTTGCAAATTACTATTTAAGACTTTTCAATTTTTTATCAAGGAAGATATGGATAGATCTGGATGATAGTGAACGTCTTTGAAAAACTTTTTATACTTTATTTCTGTTTTCTTTTCTTAGTAGACTCGAATTTTATATCCTGTTGCGGTTTCATCTTTTATAGCACAAGTTAAAATCTAACAGTATGTGTAATACACTAACAGTGAAGGAGTTTAATTAAGTATAACGGTTTTAACTAGTTTAGGCTATTTGAAATAATTAATATAATTTATTTATTTTTCTAGAATTTGTCATCTTGCTATATATAAATTATGAGTCCTCGGAAAAAAACAATATCATCACTTACTACTCGTTATGATAAAATTATCTAAGAAAAAGTGTTGCTCAATGTTTACTATACTCATAATGATAATATTATTTTATATGTTTTTCAGAACCAAGAATAACGATAATAAAACAGTATATTAGAATCACAATTCAGAATAATAATGACTATTTTCTAGGAGTTTACTGTAAAATCAGGAGATACCGATTTAAACTTTGTGTTCTTAAAAAAGGTGAATTATATAGTTGGAAATTTATTGTTAATTTTTTTTCAGACTACCCTATATTTTTGTGGATTTAGTCAGGGAGAAGTAAACAAAGGCGTGTTCGAAATTTATAAAATACCTAGAGATTACCTAAAATGTATAAAATGTACATAAAAATTAGAAATAGATGATATTTATGGATATAGCTCGGATCCAGAACCAGCTTCTCTATTTTATAAATGGTTGAAGTAATATGAAATTAAATTATTTAAGAAAAAAAATATTACAGTTTATTAAAATATAAATAAAAAATGTCCAAAATTTTATATATAAATATATATTTATTTTCCATAACGTTGTAAAACTTTACTCAAAATACCAGCGAAACCATATGTTCTTTTTTTCAAATAATATGATATCTTTATTTGGTACTAAAGTAATGATCTCATATGGAGAGGCTGATTTTAGAAAAGTGACTTAGAATCAGATTACGTTTCTTTCAACTACAAAGGCCTTTCCAAAATTTTTAGAAAAAAACATCAAAGACAAGTTTTATGGGAAGATCTGAGTAGAAGTTGTTTAAAATCTGAGTAAAATTTTGGATTTTACTCAGATTTTAACTATGAAGACCTTTTTTCTAAAAAAAATTAGAAAAGTTTTACTCAGATTTTAGATGAGTTTTACTCAGATTTTACTCAGATTTTATATATTAGTGACTCCCTAATCTTGGATTAGTTTAATCTCAATAATCTACTACTAACCTCACTATCAGTTACAAGAAGCTTTATATATAAATGTAGACTACTCTGTTTTTTGTTCTTTTTTTCTTTTTGTCGAAATATATAGATTTTTCTGTTATAATATAGAAAGTGTAAGCGAAACAAAAAAAAAAACATAGAAAGCGTAACATATATTCTATGACCACACCAGTACGAACTTACAGGTTCTTCGAAGATTCAGATAAAACAATCGAAAGAAGAGAAGTCACTCGGAGAAGTTAAAGAGAAAAGAGAATTACTAGCGGGATTGCAAGCAATAATTACGTATTTATAAACGGCGCCAATGTCACCATACATTGAATACTTTTATACTTTTTATGTTAAGCGTTGTACTTTCTTTAACAATTTTTGCTTATGTACGCAAATTAATGAATTATGCATATTATATAGGTATGTGATACACATACAATCAATTAATTACTCTCTTTTTTTTTAATAAATTACATTTTGCCGTAAAACAAGACACTAATTTACTTCTAGAACATATCTTGGATCGGTTCATTCCTATTAAATCCAAAAAGACTTAAAAGTTATCAAAAAGTGAATCACATGTAAGTTTTCGGTGATTTTGTTTCCTTTTGTAGTTTCGTATCTTTCGTTCCTCAAGGAAAAAAAAAATTTATACGTGAGATATGCATATATAACTACGAGCCTATGAAGTGGATTTAAAACACAAAACACGATATCTAAAAGAATTGTACTAGTTTTTGTATAATGAATCTAGCCTGTTAAATAATTTTATTTTTAATTTAGAAACCCCCAAAAACATGGTCTCAGCTTTTTCAAATTCAGTATTGTCATAATATATATATACCCACGCTACACATGGATTCTATTATACATTTTATTATAAAATGTTTAAATGATTTTATTTATTTTTAAATACATACAATAAAAGGAAGATCACATTTTCTCGTGTGATCCAATCGAAAATGTGATCCCATTTTGACGATGGTTTTAAAAATGAAGATCAGTGGAATATATTAACACTATGATACATTTTCGTGTGATTCCATGACCAACCTCCTCGAAAACATGTGGATCATCACACCAAGAAAAAAGACTCCCTTTAGAAAGAAGGAAGATCATTCTTCCTTCGTATATTAGTAAGATAATTAGGTAGTTTTTTTTTACCATCACTATAGTATTTTATAATTCAATTTTCTCATTCGTGTTTTTGGTCAATGGACTTCTTTAGTTATGTCTCGCCATATGTCTAATCTACATACTTTGCTATTAAAATTCAGGAACCATTTCCTCTAATTAATTTTCCTATAACTGTAAAAAATACATTGCAAACACTGAACGTCTATTACATTTTTACATATTGGTAATAGTGATTTGCCAAGAACCAAAAAAAAAATCTGTCATCAAAGACTCGAACCTTTTTTAAAATTCACGAAACATTTACTTTAGCTATTTTTTTACAAAAACCACATTTCAATTTGCAAATACTGAAAACCTCAACGTCTGTTACACTCTTACCTATATTAGCAATAATGATTTGCCAAGGAAAAAAAAAAACCGTCATCAAAGACTCAATCTTTCACCTCTTGGATGTAAATAAAAAAACTAAAGCATCACCATAAAGTAGACTCCACAAACTATAAAATCTTATCCTATATAAAGAGTCAACGTCTCATCCTATATAAAGAGTCAATGACTATCATCGCAAAAACATAGAATCTCCAAATTAAAATATGAAAAAATGGTTATCATTGACAAAAGCCTAATCTTCTTGAGGCCCTCCCCAAATTGGTTCTGAATCACGAGAAGATCTAAAGTTTTGCATGTTCACATGCAAAAAAAAAATTGGAGTCACCGAGTCAGTTGATAATATATATATATAAACTAAACATCTACACACTTGTCTACCTTTAGGGCAGTCGATAGTTGTGAGAGTTTGGGATTAGAAGAATAGTAATGCTTACATATGTTTATATGGAGATGAAAGTGCTAAACCTACCAAATTTCTAATATACATATATGGGATAATTTTCACAAATATACTCATCAAAGATATTCTAAATTTAGCATTTCAATTTTTATCAAGGAAGAATGGATATAGGATGATGATAATGAACACCTTTGAAAAAGTTTTTTTTTCTTTTTCTCTTTCTTACCATACCACAAAAATGAACAATATCTAATTTAGGACTATGAAATATTTCTCTTGTTGTCGACTCATATATAACATAGAAACTGGCATGACTGAAGGTCCTTAGTGAATCAATAAAAATTCGGTTTTGTGCATTAAAAGAAAATTGGTATTCTAAACAAAGTAACAATCTACACGATAGTCACTAGCTAGTAATGCATCAAAGAGACATAATAATAGAGGGGATTCTTATTACAATGCATACGAGAAACCAGATATAAGACATTAGAACTTCAAATCCGAACCCTTCAATTTCTCCTCAATGATCATGTCGATTTTGTTCTCCATTTCCAGAGTTAGATAATTCTTCCAGTCACCGACCTCTCCTTTTCGGAAATAGCTGTTGTGATCCACGTTCATCCACGTTTTTCCGGTTTTGTTGACCTCTAAACCGCTCAAGTTATCAAGAGAGCATAGTTCCAAGATCTTCTCAACCATTCCACTCTCTTCTTCTTCCTTAGTGAAAGGACAACCCAAGAACTCAGCAAGCCTCTTGAGCTGAGCACAAGGTTCCGTTTTCAATTCCTCGTATCTCATGAAAAGGACATTCTTGGGGTTTTCCAAGCTGCCTCTCCAATAGCTGAGTGCATGGTCCCAAATGGGACCGTAGAAGCCTACTCCACTGCAGAACGACTCGAACATTGACTCGAGAATGCTTCTAGCTACTTCGTTCTTCTGATACTTGCACCTAAAGTACCAACGCGATATCAGTGCGTCCTTTGCGTTCCTACACAAGTACACAATCTTGAAAGGAGAATCCTTGAGGCCCTCTTTCAGTGTGTGCAAAGGCATGTGAGTCGAAAACAGCCTCGGAGATGATGATGAGAACTTGGTTAGGTCCGGTGTTGAGCTTTTGAGATACATATCGATCTCGAAGAATGGTACTATGCCATGAGGATTATCGGACAGCAAAGGATGGGTCAGAGGATCATCATGTTTAGATCTCTCCAATAATGCGACCGAGAGTGCCTTGAGCCAAGTTGTGCCGGATTTTGGGAAAGAAGCGAGAACTATATCGGTGTTTTGCGGCTGGAAATTTTCCTGGAAATTGATGACTGCTTGGAGAGTGTTGTAGTAATACCAACATCCTTGGTACTTGCAGAGCTTCCCTTGAGCATCTTTGTCTGAAGGAAGTGAAGAGATCAGTTTCTTCGTTTCTTCACTTATGTTGTCTTCTCTCAAGTTCATAGGAAGCTCATTCTGAGTCATTTTTCTTTGTTAATCCTTGTTACAAAAATGTGTTTTGCTTCGAAGTGCAAACATCACTATTTAACTACTTATGGGCTAGCTGGTGGGTTTGTCATTTAAAAACTCGGTTTAAAATATGAGGTCTAGAGATTAAGTTTCTTGTTGGAGGAATCTCATCTGAATGAATATTTTTTATTTTACAAGTAGTCATTATATATAATAAGCTATGTTTTTGGATTCTTGTTACGTGCAACAACTAATCAGGCAAATAATGGGTTGTTGAGAGAATACTTTGCGGTTGTAAATTATTTTTGTACATGTTTAATTCGTCTCAACAACCGCAAAGTATTCTTATAAATTTTTTTTCTGATTTTTCTAATTTTTTTTGTCACGTGTATCACCTTATAAAAATTCATAATTTAATAATTTAATACATTGCTAGCTGTCGGCTGAAGTATTTGCCTCATCCATGATTTTTTTTTTTTTTTTAATAATGAATTGCAATTATTGAGCTACTATGATCATGTTCTAGCCTTTCTAGGTTACGATAGGTCGCTGGGAACATTATCTCCTTGCCAAATACATGTTCATCGTCTATGTTCTTCTTGAAGGGCTAGAGATTAGAGATAATGGTGTCTAATTGACTAGTTTCGACTGGTTTAGCCAAAACTGAGTTTTATAGACTTGAAGCCTTTTTAAAATAAATTAGCGAACAAAAGCAAGTGAACATTGTTATTAATCATACCAAGAACATAAAACAATCAAAGGAACATCACAGTAGACGTACGAATTTTACTTTATTACAATGCATCAAAGAAAGTAAAAGTTTAAACCACAACCACTTAGAATTTCAATCCCGAACCTTCTAGCTTTTCACGGACAATCTTGTCGATTCTGCTCTCCATTTCAGGAGTGAGATAATTTTTCGAGTCCCCGACTTCTCCTTTTCGGAAAAAGAACTTGTAGTCCACGCCGTTAGACGTTTTCCCGGTTTTGTTGATCTCCAAGTCACTCAAACTACGCAGAGAGCAGAGTTCCAAGATCTTGTCCACAGATCCGCTCTCTTCTTCTTTGTCAGTGAAAGGACAGCCTAAGAACTCTGCAAGTCTCTTGAGCTGAGTATAAGGGTCTTGTTTCATTTCCTCGTACCTCATGAAAAGGACATGACTGGGATCCTCCAAGCTGCCTCTCCAATAGCTCAAGACTTGGTCCCAGAAGGGACCGTAAAAGCTGATTCCGCTGCAAAACGACTCAAACATAGCCTCAAGAACGTGTCTCTCTACTTGTTTTTTCAGATAGCTGCACCTGAAAAACCAACGAGACACTAATGCGTCCTTGACATCCCTACACAAGTAGACGACCTTGCAAGGGGAGTCCTTGAGTGTTTCTTGCAGTGTAAGCAACGGCATATGAGTAGAGAAGAGCCTCGGAGACGGCGATGGTGAAAACTTGGTCATCAAATCCGGATTTTGGCTAGTAAGATAGAGATTAGCCTCAAGGGATGGTACTAGCGCATGGGGATTATGAGATAGCAGAGGATGATCATGATCATGAGAAGAAGAGTGTTTCGATCGCTCGAGGAGGGAAACTGTGAGGGCCTTGAGCCAAGTTGCGCCTGATTTGGGGAAAGAAGTAATGATAATATCGGAGTCTTGAGGCTTGAAATTTCTCTGGAAATTGAGGACACCTTGGAGAGTGGCAGAGTAGTACCAACATCCTTGGTAGTTGTAGAGCTTGTTCCCTTGCGTATCTATCTCGGAGACAAGTGAAGAGATGAGAGTCTTTGTTTCGTCGCTGAGGTTGTCATCTCTCAAGTTCTTTGGAATCTCCTTTTGATCCATTTTTTTTGGGTATTTAGAAAACTATGGTGTTCTTCTTGAAATGTAGACATCACTAGTTACATATATAATTAACAGCCACCACTATTTTTATTTTATTTACTTGGTGAATATCAGCACATGGGTGCAATTTGTTTTGTCTATATTTTTTTGTATTGTTTTCCCATCAATTGTATTTGTATTTTAAATTGACTGCAGTTTTTGTTTATACATATTGGTTCCACTTGCCAGCATTATTTACCTTTTAGTTCCTATCAACAAAGGAATAAGAATGGGATACAGTTACTATGAAATCCAGAGCATAGACGATTAACCTCTTTTTGCTCCCCAAATACTGGAGTAAGCGATGGACAAAGGAGTCCATGGAACCGAGCGAATCACCTCCACGGCCTTGAGCCACCAAAAAAAAGACATACACAAAGCAACAAGACCAAGTGAGAATTCTGAAGATACAGCATAACCCTCCCCTTTCAAGGACTATTTTCACTAAATTATGACGAAAACGACAATCCAATAACAAATAAAACGCACCGAAAAAAAAAAAAATAATAAAAAAATAGCTCACTCGCGAAAAAGTCGCGCATGACCGCGTTTTGGCAAAATACGAGCAAAATTGAACCTTTCGATTTTGGCCCAACGCGCGCAACGCGCTGTGGATGCGAGTGGGATAATGTTTTTACATTTTTAAGCGCGTGGCATCACGTTCTGCGACATAGAACCAATCATATTATTACACGTACGCGCGAGAGAGAAAAGAGAACTTATTCAAAGCAAATAATAATCATTTACAGAAATATAACTCATTTAAGTATATCACTGTTCAAATCTTCGTTGCAGAGCGCGAGAAAGGCGATGAAACCTCTCTGATTTCTCTTCTCCTTCTTCTTCTTTTTCTTCTTCCACTTCGTCTTCCTCTTCAAACAGAACTCCTTGAAATCAGAATCAGATTTGCATAAATGGGATTGGATTAAGACTTGAGACTTTTCCCTTTTGGGATTCTATAAGTCGATAAGAAAACTATTGAACTCTGTTATGACTTATGCGCAAGAACCACGTCAATACAATTTGTTTAGTCTATAGTTTTTGTATTGCTTTACCATCAATTGTATTTGTATTTTAATTTGACTGCAGTTTTTGTTTATACATCTTGGTTCCACTTGCCAGCATATAGTAAAAAGAACGAGGAAGCACATCAAAACAAATATTGCATTTTCTTTCAGATTTGTTTACCATCCACAAACAAATACAAAGAATATTTGGCCTAATTTCTCCCAAACATTTGCCAAAAGGAAACCCTAAATTTCAATGCTTTACATTAACTTCGTTCTACAGTAGAGAGAGAGAGAGAGAGAGAGAGAGAGAGAGAGAGAGAGAGAGAGAGAGAGAGAGAGCGCCAACATTTTCGGTAGTAGACAAAATAAATCCCAACATTGAAGAAGCCACAAATGCAACGAACGACCAAAATATTATAAGCTTATGAGAGGGAGAAACATAAAACTGTACAGTACCACAATGGCACAACCTAGAGAGTACTTTCTGTTTTTTCCATTTTTTTTTAAAACTCCTGAAGATTTTTTTAACGCAAGTGTGAACTTCTGATTCAATATGTCATGTGGGTCTTTCTGATGAGACCCTAATGTAGTAGAACGTGGCTCAAGGGCTGTGTATGGCGATTCTATTTAACGCGGAACTCGTGTCTGAAAAGGGTCAAGTTCTGAGTGAACTTGTCTCTGTTCTTTGAATCTAAACCCCGTGATATGTCTGTCATAAGACTGTCAAAGCAGGCAGAGAGTCGCTGGTGTTGATCCACTGGCTGCACCATTAATTTAAGGCTCAATATTTCAGCGCATACACAAAAGCAACACTCAGGTATAATAGCAAGGAAAGGAGAATTTTGGATCATCACCTGTGATGCGAGGATCTTAGCTTTCAGATCAGAGAAAATCTGGTGAAAGCAGTTGGGAATAAGTTAGAGGAATGAACAAAAGCCCATTTCGGAAACAGAAAGATAAGAAAAAAACTGCATATACATTACACATACCTGCTCACTTATAAGAATCAAGCTTAACATCGGCCTGCTGAGACTCCATTGATTGCCACAATCCTCGAACAAAACTATTTCAAACAGCGTCTTCAATATCTGCTTATACGAGCAAATCCGTTAATAAAGGTGTATTAAATCTCTTTTTTTTTGTGTTGCATCTGCCAAAGGAGCGTAATGAGTTACCTCGGGGAACAAACTAGGGCAGTCTGCAATGTGCTGTGCAAAACGAATAGCAGCGGGAGAAGAAGGTGCCTCCCCCATTGTGATGTTATTGAAATAATATGAAGCAAGATTGTCTACAGCTATTGCACACTGAAACGATGATAATATATATTTCTCAGTGCTTAAAGAAAGTGGTATCCCGAGGAAGAAGATACTTTGCAGCTTATGACTTGAAAAATTTCTTGATATATATATGGGTCTTAACATTTTTGAGACAATTCTCACCTGTGATGAAATACTTGTATCCAACCCCTTGAGTCCAGATTCAAGGGAACCTACGAGATGCATAAAAGTGGCAGTATCCAGTTTCAATATGAAGGTAATATGACTGCCACACAAAACCTCAACGAATCCAAAGTACGCCTTTGTAAGCTGAAAAGAAGACAATAAAGATTTGGGATTAAGAGTGCACATCAGTTAATCGTGGTAATCTAAACAATATCAAAAGATTGAACGCCAAAAATTTCTATGCGTTTATTAAAAATCAAAGACTGGTTGATTGAATCACTAAATGAATTTATTGAAGACAAAAACGCGGTGCCACACATACCTTACGATACGCTAATATATCTGCCAAGGGTATTGCTAGGGTCATTTTCAACGCGATATCAAGTGCATCTGCAAGAGCCTGATCGCCATAGAGTTCAAACACACCGAAGTTGCAATAATTTCCCGAAAGCGCTGCCCATTAGACGATTATTAAGTCTCATAACATAATAATCAACTTAACAACAAACAACTAATGATTAGCTGTCATTGGTTCTAGAATGCCAAAACCATGTTCAAACCTCTTGACAGAATTGTCAGTGAAACCCAGATCCCCTTGTATTTGAAGGCATATATATCCGCAACATTTGGAAGGGCTAAAATCCTTGAACCATAGGCCACAATCAATTTACTGACTTCCCGGAAAAGCAGGATGCCATTTGGAGAAGAAGAATCAAAAGTAAGGCGCTGGGTTTTGTTATGCACAAACTCAGCCATGAACTTCAACAACGGGGTCGTAACCTACATCAACAAGCCAAGAAGAGAAGATGAGACACGGAAGGCACCACTATTTACATAAAAATGGCAGAATGCGTAAATTCAGTGACAGTGGAAGCCACTTATGGAAACTACGTATTATCAACAATGCTAAGTTATCCAAGTAAACTATATATATACAAAGATCAGATCTTTCGTCCAATAGTGGACTCAGGTTATTACTGGGTCAATGACCTTTTATACACTCCAACGGAACAGAATGCATAACTGAATACCTCTGGTGTGTCGAACCAATGTGAGATCCCTCTCAAAAGAAGTGGCATGTGTGCGGGATACAGCCAATCAAACAAAAGACCATAACTTCTCCGGCTGAAATCAAAAGAGAAAAGCTTAAATAAATCATAAGATTGTAAAATGCCTATGGATGTCAAAGTAACTAGCTGAAGTCAAGACCTGCTAGTAGCCATAGAAATTCCTCTTAAATCCCTCATCAATCCGATCACAGCAAACTTCACTGCATCAGTGCGAAACATCGAATCTGGTGTTGATTCCAGGGTTCGGAAAACCTAGCATGATTGAATTAAAAAATTATTTACTGGCTAAAACCAATCATTGTATCGGAAAATTGAAGAGTAGAGAATTTACAAAAACTAAGACACCAATACGCCATTATAATTAGATTACGGAACAAAACATGCAACAAAAGATGCACAGCCTTGCCTACAAGATATCGTAAGATTAGGATATGGAACAATCCATGTAAGGGAGTATATAGGATTTCAACCTATGCCTAGAACTATAAATAGGGTGACGATTCTGCATTTTTCAATGCAAATTTGACCATGGATAAGTCTTTCTTATGCTTCACCTGAGTTAATGTGTAAGAAGAAAAACAAAACTATTTTCATCTCTTCTTCCGTACAAAACATGCAACCCTATCATCATAATCAGAGAACAGTATGCAGTGCAGATAAAGACATAATCACTATGCTAAATGAAAGCTGCAACAATAAGATACTGAAAGAAAATGGTGTATAACCTGCAGAAGTGGTTCCATAGAAGTCTTGAACTTTATTGAACTATCCTCCATAAAAATCAACCAGCCAATAGTGTAGTAAAACGTTGTTCTGCTGCGAGAGCATCTGTACTCTTCTAAGAATGGAAACTGCTCCCTCTGAAATTAGGCAATTAGCATACTAAGATAATTGCCAGTGATACATTACAATGCACAATGATGTCCGCACAAGAGAGTAACTGGAGAAGAATTACAGTGTGATTAGAAATAATAAAGGTCACAGTGTCCAACTTTAAAAGCAGCTTCCCGGTCATATATCTGCACGAGTACACCAAACCAAAAAAAAAAAATTAATACGCAAAATACAGTGAGCTAATATAACATCAGTTTAATTAGGTTATAACGGAATTACCCAGATGCCAACTCCAGAAACAAACTTAGCGTGTGACCAATGACTTCTTCACTCTAGAGAAACAAAAGAGAGATTGTTTACACAATATGTAACTTTGATGTTTAGAGCGGCATGTTAGAAAAGGTAGCAAACGACAAGGTTACCTCTGTATAACATTTTAAGTTTGTAGCAATCTTGCCAACAATAACGTTCAACAGAACTAGATGATCATGGAGTCCAAGGAGATCTTTCAATCTGGCATACAACTGCTGCAACAGAATGGTAGTATCAGGACTACACAAAGAACAAAAAAGTATATATAAAAAAGAAACAGTTTGCATTTACTTTAGATGAATGCATGGCCTGATCACCAACGTAAGACTTTCGGAAATTCTGGAAGAACGTAAGAATGGCACGATCAAGCCGTTGTTTACTTATTTCACGATATCTCTGCATAAAGAATGTGTCATTTGATTACTTTACAGATGAGATAGTAGTAGTGATTTCATCTGGGAGAAAAGAAAACCCAACACGTGGAGCACACGGTTGTTGAAAATTATCACAATATCCTATACAGTTCACGCAAAACATTAAAAACGTTAACGGGATATATTAATATATGTTGTTATAAATTAAGCTAGATCTTCCAGCAGTATTCATGATGATTTTCGGAGGAAATACAGATAAATTAGTACCATACATCAAGATGCCGGACAACCTTCCCATCTGCATGGCTAATCCAATTTATACCAAAATGGAACTACTCAATCCAAGAGATTATCTACGATTATCTTAACTGCTTGAAATTAACAGATGTAACACCTGTCTATGCAGTCCACTGTCCATAACATTTACTAGCCGCAAAACACGAGCAGAAAGTTCGGCATCAAGCACCTCTTGCGTCTCCACACTGCACCAAACGTTTAGTTTCCCATGTTCATATATTGCTTGGTTCCTCAAACAGACCCAAACGCAAAAAAAAACCCCAAGATTGGATAGAAACTTACCTACAACCGCTGCACTGCTTGATTTTAACAATAGCAGCAATAATATGTACAATCCATGACAATTTTGCTTCAATAAGTGCCAGTTCAGAATTGTCAGCAAACTGTTGTTGCCCTCTTTCCTGTTACACAATCACTCAGCTCACATGATAAGGCACAAAAAGCAATCTACGGAACACCAATACGCTATGCACATTAGATCAGTTGGCTTTACCGTATATGACTGCAGAAGAGGCTCCATCGTGTTTATAATATACATGCCCGTTCTTTCATACTGCATGATAAGAACCTCAGATGCAGTTTAATTGTATTAAGATATAACATTATCAATGAAACATGTGAGCAGAACAAGGGTACCGCATGACACGCAAATCCAGAAAAAGGATAACCTGAAATCTGCTTAAGTAAGGAAAGCAATCTAGCTCATCCTGCAGGACTTCAACTTTATCCAAAGGATGATCAGTCGGATCATCTGGAACACTAGCCTGGAAAGAGAAAATAGGAAATTACTGGCTACAATTAGGAACTGGGACCCTTCCATACTATGTGGTGTTTTATACCTGCACAGAATTGAATCTGGAGATGATAAAACCCTCTGTAATTTTAGGTACAAATTCATCGAGTAGACTTGGTGAATCACCCTTCAAGTATGGAACAGATGCTACTAATCTGGACCACATTCCAAGAAGGTAATACACGCTGCTGCTGGCCCACTGTAAGAAAAAGAAAAAAAATCTTATACGAATTGTACACTAGATACCATCTCAGCTAACCATTTAAGCTATACTAAAATCGATCATGTCGAAGGATAACCAGATTTGCTAAGGCATTCACTAAAATAAACTTGCGAACATTTACCTGCCATGACTGGAGAGATTTTAGTGTAAACTCTGCCACCAACTGTATCCACTCACCATAACCGTCCATTTTCACAAGCTCTGAAAGCTGCAAATAAATTATACATGCTATAACATAAGATCTGAATTTATCGGCCAAAATAAACCAATAGACCATTTCCAAACTCCAAAAAATTTACGACAGACTCGGCACAAAAAAAAAAAAAATTACATGCTGGCATTATCTTGTAGTATACCATTACAAAGGAACGTCCAGAGAGAAATCAAAGCAATACAAAGCACCGGAAAATAAAAACCGAGAGCTCCAACCCATGATTGTCAACTAACATTTAGGCAAGATAGATAAGTATCCTCCAAAAGGAAATGGTTAAAGAGACAGGAACTTTAGTTCAAACTGTTTCTGAGCTATCATTGAGTTCTAAAGTACATATAGCATCAGTATTTAGGAATAGTGAAGACCGTCCAACTGTCACATACAGAAAACGAAACAAGTGTACATTTCCCAAGTACATGGCATCGTAATATAAATTTTTAGCTATGACACAATTACAATTATACAAACAGTAATGAGTGAATTAGAAAGGAATCTAATTGAGACGTTTACCTGATAGTTCAACCTAAAACGCCCAAGTAGACGGCAAAACACGTGGTAATTATCATGATCAGCAAGACCTGATTCAACAAAAGCAATTTGTGTTGAGGAAGATATGGACCGGGGTCAGTGAGAAATTATAGGTTAAACTAAGATAAGTGAGGTGTTAAGTATGCAATAAATACAAGACCAACGTGTACAATACGTAACATGTTAGCAGACTACATAAGTGAGAGGCTGGATTTCAGTCATTAAGAGTTCAAAAACATAATGAAACAGATGCATACAATGAAGCACCTTAGGTTAGTTTGTATAGCCAGGAAGAGAAAAATCCCACAGTACAATACACCAAACACACCTTTTCCTGTTTGAAGAATTTCTCTGGTTCCAGTCATCAAATGAGCTAAAAACTTAGAGCGGGTAGCATCATTTGTGAACAGAGAGCGCCTTACAGAAGCCAATCGCACTAAGCACTCAAGAGCCTAGAAGTTAAGACAGAGGAACATCAGCAAATAGCACAATCAAAGTCTTAGGTGTCCAAACCGTATATATGTTCTTCTCTTCAAGAACTGAAAAAAAAAAAAAAAACATTACGGACATACCTCTTTCGAAAGAGGTGACTCTGTACTACCATAATAATCGAAAAATATTTGCAGCGTGGAGGAATCCTCCAATACTGACCTCCATGCAGTTGGAATCTAAAAAATATCGGTAAAAGAAGAAGTTATAACACCCGTGAAAAACGAGTATCACAAATACATAGGCACTAAGCGTTGGAAAACAGGATGAGATAACACATTATAAATGCACTACCTGAACTGTACCGAACTCTTCTGTGCTTTCATCAATTGAAGTTCCAACAAAATCAAATGATACACACCTCAGTGCAAGGGAAAGCGCCAATTCTTGTAAACGTCCGGTGGCTAATAAAAAGACAATGTCGAACTCATTACTATTGAACTAACAGCAAAAAGAAAATGAGATTTCCATGCCTATGCCTAACCAACAGATAGACAACGACAAGCGTACTTCTCAGTTACAAAACATTCCCATAGCACATATTTTCAAATTGGCATTTATAAGTTTTCAAAGTTGGCATGACGGAATATAATGAGAAACTGACAAAGATAACTCATTCAACAGTTAGAATTTCCTAAAGTGGTATCCATTCATTTACAGCTAGAAAAGTGCACACGTGCGCAGCAACCAACTAGGATGACATCAATGCCTTACAAGATTTACGTTAATAATATTACCATCATTTTTCAGATAGCTTAATGAAGTCAACGCTATTCGGAATATTTGAAATAAGGATTGATCCCTAAAGTTGCATGCAACCCTCCGGTGATGTGTAGAAGGCAGTCCTGGATTAGGCTAAAGAATTGGGCAAAAGATAGATGAAGAAATGTCAATAAGCCTTTCACAAAAAATAAATAAATGGACAATACTATTGTGATGAGGTAAATATTTAAAACAATGCATGCCGTAAACATAAACAGTTCTGTCAAATCTAGCAACCGCCATCTTATATTTTTACGAAGTGTTTTCAATGAATATATAGAAAATTCGTGGAAACAGACAATACAGTTATATATACAACACAGCACTAAAAAACTGATACTCTATATCAAAAAGAAACAGAAAGATGAGGCAACTCAAAGCTAATATGACTCCGAATCAATGAGCAATCCATGCGAGGAATCGCAAACTGCACAATGGATTATTCCAGCCTTTTAAGATGACGTGAAAATTCGACCACAATACATAACTAACCTGATTCATCTCTTGCACAAGTTGATCCAGAATTCTTAAGCCAATAGCATAGTGATCCGAGGAACCCTATTCAATCAAAATTTATGACAGAAACATATTCAGAAAAATCTTATTGAAAAAACCTGAAACTTCTACAAAAGTATCATCGACGTGGGTTTCTACAATTAAAATGTCCACAGAGCACTAAAAGAACCATGGGAACAAAGTAACAATACTTTCCAAGAAGATACATCACCTGTTCCAAGAAGTTTGTTGATTCATTAACCACATCCCTGAATCTATCATCATCTAACCATCCAAACTTTGTGAGCCGGCAAAGCAGTTGAATGAGCGAAGCAATAACAAATGATTGCATCTTCGGTCCTCTTGTAGCCAGATAGTTCACAATATAAGCCCCTAAACACAACCAACAGAACACCAGAAACAAGTAAAAATATTAAAGGCCAGAAAGAGGTTATATCTAGTCACTTGGTTAGGAGGACAGCATAAGAAGCTTACGGATATCAAGTCGAAGATTCAGCGGTAGGGTATGATCTGTCACTTGCTTCAACAAACTCGAGCTAGCGAGCATCAAGGAATAAGGTTTTGATGAATTGTCGAGAATGTATTGACATTGCGATATATAATCCGTATTCACCGAAAAGCATCTCAGACTATTTTCAGCGTGAGCCCTCTCAGATGAATCCTGTGAATTGTATAATCTTTCGCACAATGCCTCAAGTTGCGCCAAGCTCTCCATCGGTAACGAAGCACAATCTGACCAAAAAGATAGAAAACAAGAGATACCACTACCGTTTTAACAAGAATATTTCGTGAAGATTTTATTACAGTGTATCCTGATTACGAACTGTTCAGTGGGACCAAAAGAAGGGAATAAATCATTACAATAACATTTTCCCAGAGAGCCTTTTTTATTTTTCAATCAACTTTTCTAGATATGGATTAAAATGTAACATCACAATGAATCAAACAAGCTGCAGGAGAAAAATCAAATGACACATTTTCACAAAAAAATGAAACACAAAGATCCAAACAGAAACGGAACAACACTATCAATGACAAAAGTTCAGTATCTGTTGGCTACGTACACATTAAGTGAGCCACCAGTAAATATCACTTAGACCCCGTAGAACAGAGAGGGCAAGAGAGGGAGTACACAAGTCGTAATAGACGAAATAAGTAACAGCCTAATGGCTAAGTTAAGTTCCTAACTCTGCATGATGGAAAATGTAGTGAAGCTGTGTATCACCTTACTCCAGCTCAGTACTCGGGTTGATTTTCTGTTTAAAAGATCAAAAATCAACTTCAGTTGCCAGAGCACCCATATATATTCTCACACTAGTCATACAAAACGCCGGACTTACAAAAGCGTGAAAGCTACAAATACTATATTAGACAAAAGCCACACATTATCAAATGCCGCTATAAGTTTGATACGCCAGACAATATAAGCTAAAGCACAAATAGCCACGAAACAAAATACTTGGAAGATATTAAGCGCAGACTTTACATTATCATTCCGCCACAGCTACATCTATCAGATTTCATAAAACCGCACTGAAAAAAATGTGTTGATGAAACAATAAAAGAACTATGTCGACATATCTATGGTACGCTAAATCATCTAAGATACTGTGCAAGGACAAACATATCCATTCGAACACAGAAAACGGCTACAGTAAGAAATGATGAGCCCATAGAAAACCTAGATTTCGCATTTTCCATCATATCCAAATCATTTTACGGAAAAAAAAACAGGAAGAGGATTTATCATCGATCTTCACCACTTCACGAATCACAAGATTGGGGACAATAAACCATTAAGCAAAGAAAACTCGGAAAACAACGATGTGAGAAAACAAACTTTGCCTTACCAGAGATTGAGCTGGTAGCCACTCCGATTTGTTGTTCGGTAAGTTTTTCCGGCGAACTGAAATCTCGATCAGCCAAGCGTCGATGGTGACAACGAAGAAGAAGAAGAAGAGACGTGCAGTCTGATCAGGCGATGACAGCGTTTATGCCGATGAGCATTTGCCGATTGTATAACTTCCTTTTCGTTTATAGATGCTCTCACCTCTATGCCTCTATTTCGCTCGAAGCTTTCAATATGGGCCAAATCAAACTCATTAATGGGCCATCTCATCTCTACGTTCATATTTTAATGGGCTTAAAACAAATAAGGGCTGGGCCCAAAACTTAGTGTTGAATATTAAGATATAAATACAAAAAAATGTAACCCAACAGGTTTAGTCGACTTCCCACATTTAAGCAAACTCTCTCTCTCTGCTTCTCTTCCCTCTTTCATTGAGCTGCCGCCGCCGTTTCCTCTCCCGAGCTAATTGAACTTCTCTCGTCTTCGTCGTCTCTTTCGGACTGCGATAACTTCGGGGGAGAAACTTCTGGCAGGTCAAACCAGGCGACGGCGAGCTCAATTTTTGGTAAGAAAGCTCGTTGTTTTTCTTTTTGAGTTATGTGAACAACTAGATGGGTCGATTGGGTTTTTGAGATCGCTTGAAAATATCGTACACTGTATTTTGGCTTGAAGATGTAAACTGAAAAGACGAAAATTTAGTTTTTTTTTATGTGTCTCTTGTTTATGTTGATGATGTCAACTAGGTTAACTATATAACTAGGTTTAGGTGGTATATTTTGAGTTACTAGTTGCTGGTTGACTTGCATCTGCTTACACTGCCGTTTACGAGTTTTTGAGGATTTTGTGGCACGTGTTTCGTTGAGGCTTAGATTTTGTTACTTAATCGTTTCTTTCCTCTGTATGAAGCTTATAGATATTGTATTGGCTGCTTGTGGTTGTTTTAATATATTTAAACAATGGTTTCGTGAGTCCTGGTGTCTTGTGGATTATCTGAATTTGTGACGCCGCACTTTTTGTTTTGATTGATTGGTTCTGTTTTACATCTAGCTACTCTTGTTATTATAATCAAGAGGTTCTTCATAGACCAAAGATGTTTGCTGTTACAAGAGAGTTCAGTTGAGAACCTTGGATCTACTTCCAAGTGGATCTTTAGTAAAAACTTTATATTTTCTTTGTTGTATAAGCTGATGTGTAGCTTTTGTATCTATTTTCTAGTCGAAGCTTTTGCTGATAAGGAATTTTTTTAGCTTTGTCTATCTCTGCCTCTGTATATATTTACCTTTGTATTTTGCTGGCTAAGAGGTTTGCGACATTACTTTGATCTTTGTGACAGGAATAAACGTTGCTACTCAGTTTTGGAGTAAGGTTGATTTGGAGCTTTGGAACATTTTTCATCATGCAGAGTTGGGGAATTAACTCTGCTATTAAGCTACTTACATATTCTGATGAGCTTTCCGATGGAAAACCGCTCTATGCTTCTTCCAATTGTCTTCCTGTGAAGGATTTGAACCGTGAACCTGCTGGTCATGCCTTCCATTCTGCTGCTCTCAAACTCCATGGTTGTGCAAAGGAAGCCACAGACAATAAAGATGATACCTCCGATAAGAAAGGCTCAGACGATAAGGATAAGGAATACATTCCTTCCTTTGACTCGTACAACAATAACAACAAAGGAAAGAAGAAGTCGGGGAAGCAACAACATGACCACTATGCGTTGTTGGGTTTGGGCAATTTAAGATATCTTGCAACAGAGGATCAGATTAGAAAAAGCTATCGCGAAGCTGCTTTGAAGCATCACCCTGATAAACTTGCTTGTCTCCTTCTCGCTGAGGAGACTGAAGAAGCGAAACAAGCCAAAAAAGATGCGATAGAATCTCACTTCAAGTTGATTCAAGAAGCATATGAGGTTTTGATGGACCCAACCAAAAGAAGAATATTTGACTCTACCGATGAGTTTGATGACGAAGTCCCAACTGATTGTGCGCCGCAAGACTTCTTCAAGGTTTTTGGTCCAGCATTTAAGAGAAACGCTAGGTGGTCAGTTAATCCGCGTGTACCAGATTTGGGTGATGAAAATACTCCACTTAGAGATGTTGATAGCTACTACAATTTTTGGTACGCTTTCAAAAGCTGGAGAGAGTTTCCTGAAGAAGAGGAGCATGATCTTGAGCAAGCAGATTCCCGTGAGGAAAAGAGGTGGATGGAGAGAGAGAATGCTAGAAAAACTCAGAAGGCTAGGAAAGAGGAATATGCTCGGATTAGGACTCTTGTCGACAATGCTTATAAAAAAGACCCAAGAATTTTGAAAAGAAAAGAGGACGAGAAGGCAAAGAAGCAGCAGAAGAAAGACGCTAAAGTTATGGCCAAGAAAAAGCTGGAAGAAGAAGCTGCAGCAGCTATTGAAGAAGAGAAAAGGCGAAAAGAAGAAGAAGCAAAACTTGCTGCAGAGGCTGCTCAGCAGCAAAAGAGAGCCAAGGAAAAAGAGAAGAAGCTTCTGCGCAAGGAACGAAGTCGGCTCAGAACTCTCTCTGCGCCTGTTCTGTCCCAGCGTCTGCTTGGCATCTCTATTGAACATGTGGAAGATCTATGCATGTCACTTAACACCGAGCAGTTGCGGAATCTATGCGACAAGATGGAAAACAAGGAAGGATTGAACTTGGCAAAGGTACTTAAGAATGGAAACAGCAGTAACGATGATGAAATAGAGAGCAAAGATGATGAAACAGAGAGTAAAGAAGAAGTTGCTCAAGTAGCTGCCAAGCAGAATGGTCATGTAGAAGCCAATGGATTTTCCATGGTAGATAGTGATACTCAGAAGAAAGACAAACCATGGAGTAAGGAAGAAGCTGACATGCTGAAAAAAGGAATGACCAAGTTCCCAAAAGGAACATCACGAAGATGGGAAGTCATATCAGAGTACATTGGTACAGGAAGATCCGTGGAGGAGATTCTCAAGGCAACTAAAACTGTGCTTCTTCAGAAACCTGACTCAGCTAAGGCACTCGATTCTTTTCTGGAAAAGAGGAAACCTGCTGCTTCAATCGCATCTCCTCTCTCTACACGTGAGGAACTTGGAGAACCTATTATACCGACCACACCTCTTGAAGACAACAACTCGACCAAAACAGAAACTAAAGAACAGTCGTCTGGTAACAGCCAAGAGAACAACAACAACGACAACTCTGAACCAATTGCTGCTGCTGGTTCAGACCCAGACGGTTGGTCTGCTGTGCAAGAGCTAGCTCTGGTTCAGGCTTTGAAGACGTTCCCAAAGGAGACAAACAAAAGATGGGAGAGAGTAGCAGCAGCTGTTCCAGGGAAAACGATGAACCAATGCAAGAAGAAGTTAAAGGACATCATCAGAAGCAAGAAACCCACAGCCTAATTATTCCGAGCCCTCAAGCTTGCATGGTCTGAAAATTTTGCTTTGACAGAGAAGAGCCTAGACTCAATTTTTGTTACGATTCATATTTTTCATATACATCATCATGCTACTATCCTATCCTTACATAGAGTGTTTGACAACCGAATCTATTCTTAGTTATCTATTTTGTTCTAATTTTATTTATATTTTCCCTGTCTTGATCTAATTTTATGTACTATCCAGTATCAATCTGGCTTTTCTTTTTCAATTTCATAAACTAATGAGTCGAAACCAAACACGAGTCGTTGACAAAGCAAACTGAACAAATCAAAGCAATAGAAACTAACATTTCATCAAATCAATTGTATTTAGTGTATATATATCTATGATTGTATATCACATCACAGTCGTTAAATAAGCCAGTTCTACAAAATCAACCATTTCATCCTCCTGATGAATCGTGATATGGCTATTGGTTACAAAGATGCCCCAACACTCATCTGCATATAGTCATTTCCGATGTCATCACCGAGGAAAACTGCAATTGCGTCGCTCATGCTACCCGCCTCTTTACCAATCCCTAAACCATGGTCGAGCCAGCTTGATGCAAGCCAAACATCAGGCCGTGTTATATCCAAGACGGGTTGCCGCTCTTTTTCCCTCTGCCCTACATAGTTATATACGGCTAGGTGAGTTTCTTGATCAGGCTCAAAATCTCAAATATAAGAAACCAATTGATGCAAGCGATGATTCTTCAAGATGTAAAGACAGGTTCTTAGGAAGAAGATGAAAGATGAAATATAATCAAGAAACTACTTCCAGTGAGGGTAAAATCGCAAAGGTGGACAGTGACTCACTTGGTGGAATTCCATCTGCATTGTGTTGTGTGGAAATTGAAATCTCTGAATGGACCAAACTCTTCAGGGAATCGTCAAACTCCTCTGATTTGATTTGGGATACACTAACTCCTACTACATTCGATGGAGAAGTTGAAGCGCAACTCTTGTACAAACTGTTGTTTGTACTATTATTTCTGATCTTGGCCTCCAGAAGCAACATATCAAGCAGACCGGTATCACAATTTGGAAAACAATCCGAGTCTTCTCTCCCCAATGGTGGTGGAGACTGAATGTAAGCATCAAATGGATCAAGGATATCTGATTGTGGAGGAGATGCCGATTTCTTCCACTGATCAAATGTTGCTTCTGAATATTGGAATGAAGGGAGCTCCAGCTTCACTGCCCCAAGTGAGGGGTTCGAAGTAGGAACAAGGCCATCCGTAAGGGTATGGCTGTCTGGAATCATAACAGGTGAATGTTGGTTTCCATAAGGAAGATGATCAACATCACAAGGAACTAAGAAACTGCAAGTTTTGGAAATCTTTTGTGGAGCTGTGTTCTGGAAATGTTCAGGCGAGGGGATTTCTTCCTTTATAGTACTGCTGCACCCAGGATACAACGATTCAGATCCCCGAAATCGCTTCGAGGAGGGTATCAATAGTGGCATGAAGTCTTCATATCGAGGAGAACTTGCACCATTTCCCAGAGTTTTGCATGAAACCATATCTGCTAAGTTAGAAGTACCAGGTAACATGTCGGAGACAAAATTAAGACTGTCAAAGAAGACATTAGATTCACAACTCCCGAGCTGCAAGAAATCTTGATGTCTTCTATCTCCTCCTAAAATTCTACTCTCAGTATACTCTGGACTCCACTCCAGTACTTCAACATGCATTTCAGGTGGATAAAGTGGTAAACCAGCTCGTAGTCGCCTCTTGATGCGAGTGTTCCAATAATTTTTTATCTCATTATCTGTTCGGCCAGGCAACTGGGGGAAAGAAAAAAACTCTCAAAAGTTTAGTCTTCAGAGACACATTAGAAAGATGGAAACAAATTACAAAAAACACACTTACATGAGCAGCCATGCGCGCCCATCTATTGCCCATCTTGGCATGCAGTTCAACAATGAGCTGTTCTTCTTCTTGGCTAAAAGCTCCTTTCTTCAAGTTTGGCCTCAGATGATTAGCCCACCTTAGGCGGCAGCTTTTACCACAACGGAACAGGCCCGTGTGTTTCTGCACAGCATTCCAGTTACCCTCTCCATGCTTCTTCACATAGTCAACAAGAATGTCGTCTTCAGCTGAGCTCCATGGCCCTTTCTTCAGGGCATTTCCTTCCCATCTACTTCTGCAGTCACTTCCATTATCAGTAAATGGTGACTCGTTATCACTTCCCATCTCAGTGCTCGTGTAACTCATCTCTTTCTAATTTAGAGCAAATCAATCCACAGCACTTGCAGCAATCATTTAGACATCAAACTCCCACCTGAACATGGTGTGGCCAACAAAAATCAATCAACATATAATAGCTGCAAACGCTCTGATATTTCACTTTCAGCCAGTGAACTTGGAAAGGTATATATAGCAAATCGAAATAGAAAATTGTCAAGACTCTTGGATACCAGAAGACGAAAACAACAAGAAGGATTAATCTATCACGAAGAAGATCCACGTCAAATTTGAAGGAAAATAAATCAAAATCGGAGCAAGAGATCAGCTGAAAGAGATCGGAACGCACAAAGAAAAATCTCCCTGATTATGGATTTGAAACACACACAAAACCTTCATCTACCTTGCATATTTCTAGCTAAATTCAAGCTCAATAATGATCTTAAAGACTAATCATAGATCCATGAATAAAAATTCGAGATAGAACGGAAGGATGATCTAGAAAAAAAAAAAAACAAATTAGGCGGAGAAGCTCCTACGATTTTTCTCAGGGACTTTGCAAGTTACGAAGAAGATAGAAAGAAGAAATTACCAAAGCTTGATTGAGATCTTAGCTTCGGCTGCTCAACATCGAGTGGAAATGGAAGGAGGAAGAAGCAAAGCTCTTTCTCTTCGTTTTACTCTTTTCTACTTTTCCTTTTTTCAGGAAATTATATATATGAAAATGGGACATAACGTTTTTTTTGTTGATAGCGATGAAATTATATTGTAAATTTTATTACTACCAAAATAAAATTAGACAGAGCTTTAAAGTGGTACTGCCGTACTGGTAATAGATTTTGGATAGTGTTTTAAACTGTTAGTATTAGCAATTTAAACCATGGATTCCACTTTTAACAAAATAAAACCTGGTTTCCATTATAGTGTGATTTAGATTGACATACATAAAATTATTACTAAAAAAGGTAAATTATCAGGCAAGACAATCTATTGAACACGAAGTACTCTATAATTTATTACTTCATTAATAGCGCCATGTGATTATTTTTTTATTTTTTAATGGGGGTAAGATATGATATATACTTACATGATTGCTATGGAATCTGAACAATTACTAGTATTTCTAACTATATTTTACCAATGCAAAAGATAATGAAAACCATTAACATTTGACTATTGAATGTTAAAGAGACTAAATAAAAAATGATGAGAATGTTTCTCTCCTATCAATTTGGATCATCAAAATCGAATATTCTTCGTTATGAAGGCAGTCAGAGAAAGTGCGGATGGATATATAAGTCTCTCGGGCCGTTTTAACCATATTACCTTTATAAGAAATGTATTTAGTGTACTACACTACTAGTAGGATCCAACGTAACTAAATCAAACTGACCAAAAACATATTTTGGTAAAATTGGATTAGGAATTTTCATTTTCTAGAAAGAACCAAGATGCCCCCACACATAGTAAAAGAACAAGGAAAGTGACATGGTAATTGAATAAATTGATAGTGAAACTTGTAAGAAAGAAAGAAATAGAGGGCGGCGCCGGCGTAAGTCCCTTTATTCTCACTTTTGCAGGCTTTTTGTGGGCTAAGTTATCAGTTTTGATTGCGCAACACAACCTGCTCACTCTCTTATCTCATTTATATGCTCACGTATATGTATGTATTCTAATTCTCCTATAAAGACAAACACTTGCATGGCTTACGAAAGCTTGATAAAGACAAGAAGAGAGAAAAATAGATAAGGAGGAAGATATATATAGATGATGCAATTGTAATTGTAGACATCCATGCATAACAGAATCAGAAAAGTGGAGGAATCAATCTATGCATGCCTTAGATTAGAGATCAAACTTTTATCTGCAACATTATTTAGATCTTCTCATTGTTATTTTCTCTACATTAACCGTCTTTATTTAACTAACAAACTAAGAGCTAATGTCATTGAATCATGTGATTTATGAATTTTGTCTTTGATAAATTAAAACATATTTTTATTAGCTAAAACATCTTTTAAACAGTTTAGGTTTGATATGGATATCCGCAAACACTCGATATTCTACAGAGACTAATGAGATCCACTACTTTTTCGCCATTGCTTTTTCGTATGTAAACTAGGTGCGAACTGTATGTCCATGTCCAAAAGTGAAGAATTGTGTTTGGAAATCCCGGTTTTATGCATGAATATCTGTTACAAGTATTTACAATCCCTTTTACATATTCGAAGCCTGCCAATTAAAAAGTTTGGACTACTTTCAACATGTTTCGGCTCAGCGGGCCCAAACATTTTGTATTAATATTTTGTCCGAAACAATAAAAACATTGTATTATATTGTCCATATAGTGCTAACATGCCAGGCCCATAAGTAAATTCTTTTTTTTTATTTTACGACAACAAAAAGAAAAAAAAGCATTACCAGATGATCAACTGACGTGGATTAACATGTCTCGGTTAACGGCGAAAAACAAACTTATTGAATAAGTTCCCTTTTCTCTCTCGCTCGTACGTGTAAAAATATCATTGGTTCTATGTCGCAGAGCGTGACGCCACGCGCATGAAAAATGTAAAGACATTAGCCCACTCGCACCTGGTGCGCGTTGGGCGCGTTAAGCCAAAATCGAAAGGTTTAACCACTATGAATTTTGCTCGTATTTTGCCAAAACGCGGTCATGCGCGACTTTTTCGCGAGTGAGCTATTTTTTTATTATTATTTTTTTTTTCGGTGCGTTTTATTTGTTATTGGATTGTCGTTTTCGTCATAATTTAGTGAAAATAGTAGCAATGCTCCTAGCTCTACTTATTAACATCGATCAATGTTATATGCGTTTTACTTGTTATCCGTTGCCGTTTTGCATTATCTCTTCTTCTTTTTTCTGGGTAGAAGCTTTTCGCATTTTCTTCTTCCGGCCGTGAAATCGAGCAATACTTGAAATGGGTCTTTGAGTTCAGCTATCCGATCTCCATTTCAAAGTAAACTGGGAACAATTAAGGAATTTAGGAGTGTGATGCGAAACAATCTGTGTGTATGTATTTGGTTGCAAAGATTCCGTCTCTGCAGATATTTAGAGCACCTTACTCTGTTATTCGATAAGATAATGCTGTTGCTGATTTTGAAACCTGCCCAGAGTTTCATCATAAGATGCTACTTATCTTACTTTTGTGTAATTTAGTGTCTCTTATCTTACAGGAGAACCTGATATTGCAAAGGTACAAGTTCAGTTGCTTCATTTTCTTGACTATTTAGTGGTCGTCGTGGGCTCAGATTTTGAATTACTACTATTTTTGCTGATAGCATGACTGAGACTATATCACAGAAGTGCAGGGGACAATGTCCTTGAAAGGGGAGGGTTATGCTGTATCTTCAGAATTCTCACTTGGTCTTGTTGCTTTGTGTATGTCTTTTTTTTGGTGGCTCAAGGCCGTGGAGGTGATTCGCTCGGTTCCATGGACTCCTTTGTCCATCGCTTACTCCAGTATTTGGGGAGCAAAAAGAGGTTAATCGTCTATGCTCTGGATTTCATAGTAACTGTGTAACTGGTTAAACTAGATAACTGCTTCGAAGTTCAGCCTTTACCTTTTTCTGTGGAGTATGGACTTTTAGAAAGCTTTATCTGATGTTTGTTGCAGACAGAATCAGAGGTCATTGTCTCAAAGCTCTCTATTCCGCAAACACATTATGATTTGGAGTGCGTAAGGCCTGATTTCATAATGCTCCGTAAATTAGACCTTGTCTCAGAAGGTGATTGATGCTTTTGCAGATAAATATTCCTTGTTTCTCATTGGTCATTTTGTCTAGCTGGTTTTGATTGATTTTGACCCAATGAAACACAGAGATAAATTGGAGGAGCCTTGGGGACAAGAGTGATCCCTTCAGTTCTGGTGTTATCTATGTCAAAAGGAAAGTATGAGCTTGTTCGTATGTTGATGATCCAGTTGGGTGTTAGTTACTGCTTTCACGAGTAATGCATAAGGTGGTAACACCATTTTTATACTCTCAGCTCAGATATATATTCATTTTCAGTCTAGAGAGCTGGATTCTGATACAGGTTAGATGCTTTCGGTGGTGCAGGTTTTTGGTTTAAGAACTCTGGACGAAGATAATATGCTTGCTAATAGCCACAGAGAACTGGATTCTGATAGCGTTGGTCACTTGGCAGGTCAGCACTTTCTCATCGGATCCAAGCCTAATAGCCGCGGTTACAATGATGGCAAGACAAAGATATCGTTGACAAGACAACATGACCAAAAAATTATTTCATGCTTTTTCTACCTCAATGAAAACCCCTCAATAATGAAAGTCATCATTAATTTAAACATTTATATCTTGTCCACTTTTGTTATTTACCTACAGTTTCCAACCCAATAATTTATCTAGATAAATTTCCGTACTTCAATTGGTCTGAAGCTATAGTATAATCATTTCGTTGGCGTGGAGAATCTCAAACTGGCCAACTCTAATGCTAAGTCGCTAATGCGGCAGCTAAAAGTCAAGCGGTCAAAGAGTTTGTGTCAACAAACCAAATAAACAATTTAATATATCATATATGATCAAAAAAGTTAAGATCATATCAGCTGCTCATGTTTTCTCTTTCAACTTCTTATCTACCACCACCAAACTACAAATCGTCTGAGTATTTTCAAACAATTATTATTCTCACCTTAGATATGATTAAAACGAAAATATACATTCCAAAGACGTGATGGCTACCTAACGCATATTCAATTATGAGTGGTTGAACATTTAAATTCTTGGACAGTTTTGAATCAACGCATTTTCATTACACGAAAATGAGTCGGGGAAACTTTTTTCTTAGAATAAACATTTGTATTAGGGTAATTGTCGACACTGTTTCTAAGTAGAATTTTAGAGACAGTTGATGGCTGTATATTCAATAGTGCTTAACGATTTTTGTCTGATTAATGGTGTCTTCTTGTGTGAAGTCTTAAATTTAATCTTCGAAAATTTTATGTCTCTTGAAGCGATATAATATGTAAAAAAGTTTAACAGAAAAAGTTGATATATAATGGCAATTAAGAACACTCGACAGCAGTTAAAAAATTTAGATCTAGAAATGAAATCTTGCAATCTGCTTATAAAAATAGGTTAAACAAAAAAATTTGCTTATAAGAATAACTTGACAACTAGTGGAAAAAAGGTTTGAAAGTTGCGACCACCTTCTTGAATTGGTCGCAAAACGACATATACGACACCGTTCCGTCGTTCCCTGCGAGAACTCTGTATTTATCCTTCCTCGTGAAGTTAGTACACTCAAACCCTAACGTAGCCGCCAAGATTCTCTGTACATAGTTGGCCACATCATATGGGCTCTTCCCTGACGAACAAGTGGCCTCCACTTCGAGCTGGTTCAAGAACGTCACCTCGTAAACCGGTCTCGGGTTCATGAAAAAGAAGATCGGATCAAAACCCTTCCATCCTCTGGCGGTAGTCGCATGAAAGAATCCAACTCTATAGTTCATTGCCACAGGAACGATCTTATCCGTCAATTCCGCGAAAAGCGCGCTAAACCTCAGCAGAAACGGCTCGCGACAAGTGGTTCCCTCAGGATATACCACTAAGTCCCCATTAGATAACTCTTTCTTGATAATCTCGGCGTCTACTTGCCGAACTCGAGTTAACCGGAAGGTTGGAATCGGAGATAGAATCTCGGATAGTCGAGAAACAGAGTAGGTAACGGCTGGGATGCTACGTCCAAGCACGTAGGATAATATGACAGGATCCATTACGGTTCTATGAGTGCACACGAATAGTACACCTAGGTTTCCGGCGGTTGCTTGTGCCAGAGGCTTTCCTTTTACGATGAAACGAATGTTGAATATACGTGAAATGTAAGGTATGGCCCATAATGGGAGCATGAAGCCGATGAAGAGTCGAATCACAGCTAAGATTATTCCGAAAGGGATCCAAACAAGGATGAGCAACGCGGTGGCTGGTGTCGGTAGCTTCACTAGACGTCCATCGTGAAAGATAACCGGTAGTGGCTGTGCATGAATTTGCTGGTTCTCAACGTTGTAGTTTGATGGAATTGGTGCATGAATTTGCTCCTACTTATACAATCATTAATATATTCATATTAGTCATGTATTGGTGTGAATATTTGAAAAAGAAAAACAGTATTTTATTAATTTATACTATAATTTCTAGTATCAGTTAGTTTGTGTTCGAATATATTCTCATAAGCAAAGAATATTGATAATGTTTTTCATTTCTTAGTACTCACCTCACATAACGACAAGAAAGTTGGGGAATCCAAGATAGCCGGTCGTCCAAGACCTAGTTGAGGTCTCCGATTAACAAACAAGTTAGCCACACTGTTGAAAACAGATCGATCGACATCGGTTTCTTGAATCAAACCGGTGGCATAACCGAAACGGTTAACGATTATCTCTGTACCGATGACTTCATCGGCTCTAAGATGGTCTTTAGCGAATCTCTCCACCATAACTCGTGGCATTCTTGTCACAACGACGCTCTTCTCACACGAACCAAACGCTCTCCAAGCGTCCATGCTGACATCATCCATGTAAAATTTAGGAAGAACAGCTCGAGCCACTGATTCGATCTCTGATTCGCGCAAACCGGCCGTTGCAACGAATATCATCAGCTTGAGGCTACAGTTTCTGTAGCTCAAAACGTCAAGGAGTGCTATGATAGGCCAGAGAAACAGCAGGGCTGCAAAACGGATTAGACCTGATGCTTCGAAAGCCACGAGCATGAAGTAGGCGAAGGGTTTGGGGTTTTTCAATAGTGTTCCTTCGAGCTCAGACACGACCGAGTACGATGTTGTCGTTGATGACTCCATCACCGCTTAATTGGTTTTTGTTGTGTGTGTTGTATCTTGAGTTTTTGATTTGTCTGAATATGAAAAATATAGGATTATATAGTTAGCTTTTATATGGTTTGGAGTGACTTGTATTAGTCGTCTCTAATGCAAATAACACGGCAGTTTATCAGTTTCGCAACCACTTTCTTTGTTATTAATTTATTTGACGTTGAATAGTATTCCTGAAGTTATTAACTTTGAGAATATTAGTCATAGCATTCCTGAAGTCAATATGTATATCTTCTTCTTTTTTTGTCGGCGAAAGGCTTTATGTCAATATGTATATCTATACGTAGAATACGAGGAAATAAGATAAGGTACGTATTGAACGTAAACGTGCGCTGTCTTCCCTCTTTTAGTGTATAAACGTAAATACACAATCAACAAAGCGGAACAATTTGATGGCTTAACTTTCACCAACTTGCTTCCGAAAATTGGTCGGGCTGCACCAATATTAGGTCACGTGTACACCTAAATATGCAAAGATAAATAACAGGTCACTGACCTTATGTAGGTATACCGTATAATGTTTTTTCAAATATATTTTCGAATGGTATCTATTTTGAATTTCATGGATTCCTTTTTGCATGTCACGTTTAATAGTTTACGTACGGGATTTTTTTTCTTTCTTTTTGAACCTTTTCTCTGGTTTGCGAAGTTGAAACCTGATCGACGGATTTGACATCCCATCAAATTATAACAATTTTTTTAATGATTTTGATCGTTCCTATTTTAACCGAATTTTATAAACATTTAACATCCCGACAAATCATGATGTCTTGCCTGTGTGGTTCAAATTGGTTTACCAAAAAATGTGGTTTCCCTTGGGCTTTTTGGTGGACTTTCTAAACTCTACCGAGTGCACCTCAATTTCTATATAGCGATATTTCGCTGTCTTCGTCCGTCACCGATTTGGGGTTTTTTTTTTTTTTGGCAGTGTTTATATATCTACTATAGAAATTCTAGAAGGTAGAAATAGAAAAAATCTTACTATAATTGAGTACATAAAACAACACGCGGAGCACATAGCTTGAGCGATGAACTTAATAAGACCCACCAAAACCAAAAGATAACAAAAGGAGAATTTACGAGCTGAGGCTAAAATGACACCTAAAGCTAGACAGGGTTCGTAGGGTTCACACTTCGTACAAATGAAAAGAAAAGGTTAATTAAAGATTTAGTATTGAAATATAATGCCACATTTAATTATCCTTTTTTTTACTTTGATAAAAATGTCACACTTATATGATTGCATGCATGATTAAGACAAACGTTATAAAGCTCGAAAGTCGAAGTTACCATCTGTAAACAAAACCGACTCGTTAATCCCAATTCCTCAACTTTTCCCTTTTGTGTCTCTCGTTCTTCTGTTCTTGATTTAATAGCTAAAAGAAAATAATAAAATGTAGGGGCTTTAATAAGAATGTATTGAAGTTATAACAAAAATTTACATCATTAACTTTTGATAAGACTGTAAATTTCACATTTGTTTTTGTTTTGGTAAACTATTTCACATTTGTTATTAGTTGCTACACATCTAAGTTTGGTTATTTACGGAAATTTCAAAGAAAATCACATCATATCGATAAAACTAATTGAAGTTTTGCTTTAACAAATAAAAAAAAATTAATGAAGTTTTTGAGCACTTAGAAGTTATTGGCATTTCGGTACGTAGTCGCCGCTTTTATTTGGTGTTTTATTTTCCTATATAGCGCGCCAATTCGTAAGTGGCAAACAAAGAAAGGGACAATAATAATTTTAATAATCACAACTATGGATTGATGTGATACAAAATAGCAATGGATACTGAACTTAGGTTAATAATAATCAGTAGAGATCTATGAAGACACATTTAGATATAGGGGAGGATAATTGGTGACCTCTATACCTAATCCTAACACAAATTTGGCGAAAGTAATCATTTTAAAATATAGTTATCAACATTAAGCGCCCTAATGCCGGCATCTAGATGACTAGATGTGAGCTTGATTAATTTCGACTCCAAATTAACAGAGCTTGATTCCAATACAACTCAAAAAATGAAATAATCATAGTTTTTCATCATGATCGATAAAGGCTCTGAGGTTATGAGATCTTTAATAATTAGTACTACTGTGCATAGAGAGTTAAGCTCTCGTATGGATGAAAGAGAGGAAGGATTAAACTCCTGGAACACTATGTACAAAATACCTTTAACAAAAAAAAAAAAAAACTATATACAAAAGAGAAAGGAAATATTTATAAAAAATGGTTTCTTGAAGTCTTTCTTTGAATCAAACCAGACTTAACTATATGACATTAGGGTTTTCTTCTCATTGAAAAAAGGTTAATTTTTTAATTATTTGTGTAAAATTTGTATTAGTTTCAAGTAGTGTTTTTATATTAAATATTAGTGTCTCTCGATCGGTTTTATTGAGGTAAGACGAATCCGGATTGGCTTCAATAATTAAGTTTACAACAAGTTGATGGGAGAGTGACCTTTTCTAAGATACATATACAGTACCTTTTGTTTGTCTCACTATGCAAAATGGATGCATTTGCATCTCAACCAATAATTAATCATTTCCGTAAAGCCTACAAACTACGTAACAGTTGAGGAATAAAGAAACATGATTAGTTTGGCCAAAACATATTTACAACGAATTTAAAAGAAAATCTAAAAGGCACTTTAGGACATTAAAGAGTAAAAGGGATTACCCAAAATTGCCATGAAAAATGTAGGCCACGAGGCAGATCCCAGGAAATGATAACCACTTTTTATATTAAGTGGCTATCGGATATATATATTCAAGAAAACCAAGGTACTCGTACTCAATCTATACTCGTATATGTAAGTAGATCTTGTTGCCGGTAAGAAAAATATAAACCTTGAATTCCAAGGTACTCCCATGCATGAGTCTCCGTACCCAACCTGATTTCCTTATTAATAAACAAGTACTAACTAAAAGATAAATTACCATATTTATACACATTCTAAATTAAGTATTAGTTTTTAAGAGTTTCTGCACGGTATCATGAAAAAGTATGAATCTATAGTACATATGTATATAATATTAATCTAAATGAAAATAATTAAAAACCGATTGAATACCCAATATACCGGGGGTATCTATCAGTATTGATCTAGACAAAAGCTGAAAAGCATATACCTTTTAGTACTGTCTCACAATTATTCTGCGAAAATATGATTTTATATAGCGTTTATGAAGTATTTACCTTTCAACTATTTACGAGATTGATCATTCGATTGTAAGTAAAAAAATGATATAGGTACAAAAGTGATTGATGTTTATCTCAAAAACTCTTTTGTTATCCTTTCAAGAACTTTTAGTGGTGGGGCTTATAAAAACCAACGCGATTTGTCTTAAGCTAACAAAAGATAAAAACATAAACAAAATAGAGGAAAAGCATAGGAAAAAAATGGCAGGTCACGGATCATCTTGTGGAGCATGCAAGTTCCTAAGGAGAAAATGCAATAGCGACTGCGTCTTCTCGCCTTACTTTAGCTACGAGCAAGCCTCTTCCCATTTTGCAGCGGTCCACAAAATCTTCGGTGCAAGCAATGTCTCGAAGCATTTGCTTCATTTGCCTTTACATCAAAGAAGCGCGGCTGCAATCACCATCTCCTATGAGGCTCTCTCTCGCATGTGTGATCCTGTTTATGGCTGCGTCGCTCATGTCTTTGCTCTTCAGCAACAGGTCTCTCAAAACTTTGGACACGATTTTTTTGTTGTTTTTGTTAAGACAGTCTCAAATTACCCTGGAGATCCTATATGAAAAGCTTATATCAGATGTATGTTTTTTTGGGCTAAGGAATCAAATGTATATTTGATGTTATAAAATACCATTTCTTATTTTTTAAATAAAGGAAACCCGAAAAAACTTTCTTAATACAATTTTAGAATTAATATGGCCATGTCCGAATGCGACAGTTTTCCGTATTAGGTAGCCTAGTTAAGTTAAATAATTTAAAATTAATAAAAAAAGGGAAAAACTCTTCACTTTGAATCATTTAGTTATAGGAAACAAGTTGATCATGTTGCTTCTTGGGCTTTTGTTTTTAAGGTCGTGACTTTGCAAGAGGAGATCGAGTTTCTGGGGACGCAAATGGCGAATTTCTCCTACTCTAGCCAAAGCATATCACAATCTACCAACATGCCGGAGCCTCTGAATCAGATGAGAATGGACACGACCGGTTTTGTCGACGAGAGTCTTTTGAACAACGACGACGGAAGAAACTGCCTTGAAGGGTTCTTCACGAACCCGGAGGAAGTGCTCGTGAATCATCCATGGTTTCAGAACATGGATTACTATCACTATGCACCACAACATTATTAGATGTGAACTATAAATATGATCGATCATGCTCTGTTCTTACAGATGCGCGCGGACCATGTTTTTTTGCCATGATAATCGGATCATTTTATGTTTTTTATTTCCTTAGAGGTCACGTTATTAATTGTCTGTAATTTGGTAAGGCTTAAGTAGTTGTTAGACTCCAGTTTAACATTTGATTAGTATAGAATATGCATTTAGGCAATGCTACTCTTTAAGTCAGTTGTATGAAAGTGTTTCCCGTGCGTCTCTATATGTGAAATGTTTGTCATTCGTCGGCTAATTAAGTTCTAATTAATGTGATATAAAAATATTAGGTTTTAGATTCAAAAAAAAAAAAAATAGGTTTCTTTCCGTCTCTCGTGTTGTATTTGAGACAAAAAAAAATATATAAAAGCCTGGTGAAATATTATGTATTTCAGTATTTGTTATTGGCTGATCATTTTACTATTCAGAAATTTTAGTATATGATGGATTTTGAATTATAAACTCTAGAATTGTTGCTATTTTTTAAGAAAATTGGGGGAACAGATGATTTTATAAGCCATGGCCCATGGGAAGTCTTTCTAAATTAGTGGGCTTGAAATATCTATTTAGGTCCATAAATAATATAAATGTTTAATATTTCTACGAGCTCGATGGCTTATAGCAGGAAGGTAATTAATCCTCTTAATACATAAAATGTTACAGCTCTTCCAAAAACAGTGACATGAGAAAAAATATAGGGCGAGTGTAATACAGAAAGGTAATTAAGTATAAAATAACAACTGAATTTTTCTTGGTTTTCTTTTTTGGTTTTTTGTTTCTATTCGAAAAATGTGAAAGTCTCTTCATTTATTAAATACGGTTTATTACGACTCCAAAAAAAAAAAAAAAAATGTCTTGATGCACCCAACAAAAGCACTTAACTTTACAAAAATATACAATACGTAAATGAAATTCGAGTTTGGCGTTTTTTCCCAAAAATTGATAATAATCTGGTGTTTTTTACTTTTTGCTTCGTAATTAAGTCACTTCAGTTTGGATCTTGTTTTGTTTTTTTTCTTCGCACTGTCTGAAAACCGTAATATGGAGACAAATTGTAAGTTGAATCTCTTGACATACGAGTACTTCATAAAAATAATTAAAATTCTAAGCAAATATCTTCACTTTTCCATCCGTATAATACTCGTAGAATAATCACACGATAACATTTTTAATGGCAGAAATAGGCCACGTATCCAGCTGTGTCTTATTAGCTAGATCACATAAAATATTAATCATAAATTAATTTGTTGGTCCATTGTATTCATCACCTGTAGGCTGTACCGTCACTTATATGATATCCGAAGATGGTGTATGTGTTTTAGTCTCTATAAATAACATATTGTAGTCTAACATAAATATTTACAAGTAAACCATAAATTTTGTCATATTATTAGGGGTAATTGAAAAACATCAACTCTAACAACTTATTAATTTTGTAGACTCGTGGAAAACTTAGGTTTCTCTTAGCATTTATTTTAGCTACCATCGAATCAAAAGCTCGCCAACTAATTATTAATGTCTAAATACTTAACATTTATAGATATACAGAGTGAAGACATAGAAAAAATAAAAAAATAGAGTGAAGACATAAGAGAGTAACTAAAGTAAAAGGGAAATTTCCCCATCAAAGTCTCTCCCTCTTTACTCATGGTTCTCAACGTAGCTTTCTCACATTCAATGCTTTAACCATACACTCAGATAGTCACATACATGATACATACATATGTATAGGCGTCTCTCTTTATATATGTGTACGTGCGTGTATATCTACATACTTCTCATCCATGAAAAAAAACTCTGTTAATTTCTTCTACTAATATAGGAATCCTGTACATCCTTTTTGTATTTGTATGCGTCCGTATGTGTGTGTGATGGAAAGAGGAAAATGCTTGATGTCGATGAAGCTTAGACCAGTGGTTACGAGGCGATATTCTGACGCGGCTTTTCTCTTGCCGTTTGGGGAAGAGAGAGCGTTTGCGGCGGCTGAAGAGTATGGCGGTGGAGGCGGTTGCATGTGGCCGCTGAGGTCTTATTCGTGCAGTTTCTGTGGGAGAGAATTCAAGTCGGCGCAAGCACTAGGCGGTCACATGAACGTTCATCGAAGAGACCGAGCTCGTCTGAAACAACAATCATTATCATCTTCATCAACTGATCAAGCCACGCCTCTTGATCATGATCATCAACAACAAAACGAAGTTCTTGATGTGGGAACGAAGGTTCTTGTCCAAGAAGATTCAAGAAAGCACAATGGAAACAAGAGGGAGATAAATGATGTTTGTAACAATAATGTTTTAAAAAGCTCAATGAAAAGATTTGAGCATTACAATGATGAAGTCAAGACTGAATTATCAGTCGGTCTATTGAGTTCTGAGTTTGATCCTAAGCAGAAGCAATTAAACAATGGATTTTCGTCGTCAAAGAAGGCAAAGACGGATGTTTCAAGATTGCCAATGATGTTAGAGTTGGTAATTGGAGTCTCCAAGATCAACGGTCATCACGAGGAGTTGGATCTTGAGCTAAGGCTAGGAGCTGATCCGCCAAAGGTTAACTAGACTAAGTAGCAATAATGGTGATAATAGTTAATGTGATTGCCAAAAAGAAGACGTTAAATTGTCTCTAATCTCAAGCGTTAAAAAAGAGTAGGCTCTGTAGTGTTGGCTTTGATATAGTAATATTTTATTTTATGGAAAGTCAACACGTATAGTCTTTGATCGATAATTTACTTCAAAACAAATATCTTGATTTGTTTTTTTTTAATAAACGAGTGGAGTAACATTCTCACGATTTTTCGTTTTCAAGTTTATAACGATTGCAAATTGTTGGTGTTGACAAAATGACAAGATCCAAGTGTATTTAGCTTATATGGATAGAGTACAATCCACTCATTTACCTAAATCAGCATTTTAGTAATGTCGTGCGAAAGTATTTAATGTGTTTTAAAGTGTAATATTTTGAATCAAAAATAAAAGACCAAAAACCTTAATAGCAACACTTTATTAAAAAATATTTATTTCTGAGCTATTTAGTGTATCTTATTTTGTTTTTAATGTTCCAAACATTAAAATACATTAACTAATTCAAAACTTCTTTATATAACACTAGTATAAAAATAAAGGTACCTTACTAATTCTCTAAGTAATCTCCAACCATTGAACTATTTTATGAGTTTTCAATATATTTTTCATGTTTTTAATGTATTTAACTTATTACATTGTTCAATATAATATATTTTTAATGTGATAACACCAACTAGCCAGTAATCTTAATATTTAGAGAATATATTTAAGAGATTTCGACATATCAGTGGTTGGCACATGAAAAATAGGATCCCTTTTTTACTCTTATGTGTCTGCAATTAGTAGGAGCTTTCTAACTAGTTGGCTTTGTAGTTATAGATAAATAATGCTGTAAGAAATTATATAAGAGTTATATAAATGTCTCTTCAAAAAGAAATTATATAAATGAATCAAACAGCACGAGCAGACAAATACTGCACAGTAATAAATATATATATTTTTCTTTATTACTCGTGGTAACAGGAAAATGCACTATCACAGTATTAATTATCGAATTAAAATGAATTGCAATGAGCATATGTGGGAACAGAAGATTATTATTGGATTCACACCAACGTTGCAGATATGAACATATTACAAATTTACACACATACACACACATTATATATAATATTTGTAATCTCTGATTGTACTGGTGTATACTGTGGGACTACCGACTACGAGGAGAAGGGTAAAATCTAATTGATCGAAGTAAAGTGGTCTTTTCACAATTTATAGCACCTAATATAAACATATGCTAACGTTTGTATATTGTACTTATTGATTACCTTTGTTTTTTTGACCAGAAAAAGAAAAGATTACCTTAGTTTTATTTGTTTGTTAAAAGGTCTGCACTTTTTTGGGTATAACCTAATAAAGGATCAACTCAACTATATAATCTTATACAAGAAACACTATATAACCTTATCACAGTGTAACCTTTTTGGACGTTCTAATTTCAGAGTATTGTATATAGAGTCTATAGACTTTAGAATGATAAAGAACAAACGAAAAAAAGAAAAAGAAATATAGACAGAAAACAAAAAAAGAAAAAGTAAAAGAGAAAGAAAGAATGAAACCGATGGTTATAAAGGAAAAATAGATTTAAATGGGAGAGGCAGCAAATTTCAACGTTGTCTAAAAGAGGCAACCTCATGAAATATGGCTTTTGACTTAATATTACAAAGCATCGAAACAAAAACTGAACTAAAGTCTACCCCAAAAAAAAATAGAGAGAATTAAAAAGAAAACCTCAGACTCTGCTCTGCAACTGCAAAAAGGGTGAACTTAACTCGACAAAAAATGTAAAGCAAATATATAAAAAGGGAATAAAAAGAATTTATGTCATAACTTGTAACCACCAGCCGTTACATCATTTCCGCTTTCGGACATTTTGCTTCTGAATATTCAATGTGCTCTTCTCATTCTCAATCGCCTTTCTTTGCTTCATATTTTTTCTTTTCGTTTTATCTCACTTATTTTTTCTAAAGTTTGAGGATAAATTAGGGGCCTCTCTCTCTCTCTCTCTCTCTCTCTCTCTCTCTCTCTCTCTCTCTCTCTCTCTCTCTCTCTCTCTCTCTCTCTCTTTTTTTAATTTCCAGGCAAACTATATTTTTTGAACGTTTTTTTTAATGTTTTGATGCATTGGTGAAGAAAGCCAGTTCGTCCGAGATTTTTATTATTGTCGTAATTTATTTACTCACTTGCCCACATCAAACTGTAATTTATTGAATCAGTTGTCCACATCAAACTATTTTTTTTCTAATCAATTATTTGGTTGTAATCATGATTGTAAACTTATATTATAGTTTTTAGACATAATACTACGATTTAGCTGAATATTTGAGTATTAATTTCGGTTAAATAAATGTTTTAGACCCGAATTCAAATCTTAAATCTGTTAGACTGTTGAGGATGAATGATTAAGGTTTTGTACAACCCGTACAAGTTTTATCTATAATTTATGATCTAAAGACACTGTAAATAAAAAATGGTTACACAAAAGTTATAATATATGAAGATTTATAAAGAAAATTATGAGAAATATCTTAGTCTGAGTAATTACAAGAATGTTATATCTTATAATCTATATTTTATAATTTAAATCTGAACACATATTTCTATATATAAGTTAATATCAATAAATTTCATTGTACCCAAAAGTTATTTTAGTGTATGTTGGTATAGCACCTATATACACAAACAAGTAAACTGAAAACGCTATATTCTCTGTTGTATTGCTTTCCCTTTCAAGAAACTCAACTTGAAGTTGCACCATCATTATACACATCTATTGTTAATAGGTCTTATTTAGTGTAAAAGAAGATAAGAGAGAGTGAGGTATAAATGAGAGCTCAGAATGCACATGCTCATGCTTGCACTCTCATTATTCATCAAAATTCATTTCTCTGGTTAGCTCTTTCTATGATTTGTCCATTAGAGTTAACGAATTTAGTAACCTTTTTCTCTTCCTCTTGGTTCAATGTACTTTCCTTTTTTGGCTTCTGCTTCACATACAGCTTTTTAAACCGTGTGCATCCAACAAAGTCAAATGGGAGAATCACCAATTTTTATTTATTTACTTTCTTTTTCCATTATGACTCAATGGGCCGTGAGACATAAACGGGCCTATCGTGAGTTTAGGCCCAATAGGAACATCATTCATTAAAGTTGAGCCGAGCACTTCACTCACAAATGCACAGTGATATTCGTGGAGGAGAGTGTGCTACAATGGAGACTGACAAAAGATGGTCCCTCGTCGGAAAAACTGCCCTGGTAACCGGCGGTACTCGTGGAATCGGGTTTGGCTCTCCTCTCGTTTCAATTCGCTTCCAATTTCTCGCGATAGAGGACAAAATTCTTTGCGCTCTTTTCTTATTGCCAAGTTTTTTCGGCTAAGAACTCTGCGTTCTGCTACGAATTTCTCGTTTTTCGTAGAATAAAGAAAGCATAAATATATTTCCGATTCTAAAATTTCGATGAATGAATGATTTCAGTCGAACTTAGGGCAAAAAACGAGTGATTGCATGAGTATTGAATTCATAATCTCTGTTTTTGATCCGGGGTCAGGCGGGCAATAGTGGAGGAACTAGCAAGATTCGGTGCAACAGTTCATACTTGCTCAAGGAACCAGGAAGAGCTAAAGGCATGTTTGGATGTTTGGAAATCCAATGGTTTAGTGGTATCTGGTTCGGTTTGTGATGCTTCAGTTAGGGATCAGAGGGAGAAATTGATTCAGGAAGTGTCCTCAGCCTTCAGCGGCAAGCTCAACATCCTTGTAAGTTCCTTTCTTATGTAAATTTCTTGTTAAATCTGACTCTTTTCTCACACATTTGAATCGTCATTTGTCATGTAAACCGTTTATTGCACTAGCTCAGCATCCGTATAATTTCCTTACCTGACAGAAAAAATCTTCGAACCAATCTATTTGCTGCCACACTTTTATCAGGTTTCTACACACTAGGTTGGTCTTAGCCTTGAAATGGCTGAGATTTGTGATGGTTTTGCCTCAAATGAGCTTGATGTGAACCATATTGTGATGGATGTTCGGTTGGATAAAATTTTAATGATAAATCTCATGTAAGTTTCTTTCTGTTACGCAAGACTCTTACATAATGTGTTGAGCATTACTGGCACAAGTTAGGGGTTTACTGGCACACGTTAGGGGTTTACTGGCACAACTTAGGGGTTTGAATCATTCTCTTCACACTAATGAAAATTTCTCAATTTTATTTGTATCCAGATAAACAATGTTGGGACTAATATAAGGAAACCAACAGTGGAGTACTCGAGTGAGGAATATGCAAAAATCATGTCGACCAACTTAGAATCCGCTTTCCATTTTTCCCAAATTGCACATCCTCTCCTAAAATCATCTGGAGTGGGAAGCATTGTGTTCATCTCCTCTGTAGCTGGTCTTGTGCATCTTCGTAGTGGATCTATCTATGGTGCAACTAAAGGTGAGTCCTTTGTTCTTCATTTTTTTAGATAAAGGAAAAAAGCACCAAAAACAACGGAAATAACATTACTGTTCTTTTCTCAGGAGCACTTAATCAGCTTACAAGAAATCTAGCTTGTGAATGGGCAGGCGACAACATCAGGACCAATTGCGTGGCGCCTTGGTACATCAAGACCTCACTTGTGGAACCGGTATCTTTTCATATACTCTATACTATGCCCTAAAGTAATGCACATGGAACATTGTTTTTTTTTGATTAGTAGAGTTTTGGTAGAAAAAGAGTAGGGGTTTGGCATATAAACTGAATTCAAACTGAAATGTTTAAAAACTGAGACCGAGTTGCCAAAAAAGGAAACTGAGACCTCGCATAGAAATTTATCGTATTGTTGTTATTGTTCTCTTATGTAGCTTCTTGAGAAGAAAGATTTTGTGGAGGCGGTAGTTTCGCGGACCCCACTTGGGCGTGTTGGAGAACCAGAGGAAGTCGCGTCGCTGGTTGCTTTTCTCTGCCTTCCCGCAGCCTCTTACATCACCGGACAGGTCATTTCCGTTGACGGAGGACTCACAGTCAACGGTTTCAACTACGTTATGTAGCCAACCTCTCGACGTAACTGCATGTACTAATAAAGCAAGAATCCGTTTGTGAGGTTTTTGCCCGTTGGTCTTGTTTTTGTCCTTGTTTCCTTAGTTTGGTTTTGTTATTAAACCTGCAAGAATTTCTCACATTTGTATCTTAGAAATAGTCAGCTGAATAATCAAAGGCACAGTTATGCACCAGTTTATATCAGATTAATAACACCAGTTATGGATAATTTGGAAATATGGATCGGAGGCGTATTTTTCATCGACAAACATTCCAAATTTTTGACTCATGGACATACAAAACAGTGTTGTTTTCTCGACTGTTCGTAATTGTGTAAACAACAAGTCAACAACACGAGAAACAATTTTGAATTCTCTGTACCCTTCTTTTTTTTCTTTTTCGCTTAACAAGATTATGTGTTTAATCGTTTGGGAGAGAGGTTAAGTGAGCTTAAGCCGATTTTAGTCAACGTTAGAGAGGGCTTAACGCCTAAACTTCACAAACACTTCAGAGTTTGTTTTGGAGTCCCAAACTTTTCCTAAAAGTCCAAAAGCCTCCCAGACTAAACTAACCATTGATTGATCAACGACCACCTGAAAATTGTAGCCCAAGCCTTATATTAATGTCAAGCTTTTTTGCCTCTAGTCTTCCTTTTCTTTTTCGTACGATGCTTATCAGACGATTCAAACTGCTTTTCGCATAAGAGGACCCTGTAACTTGCGTGAGGTCCTTCAGCGGTTTCACGTAAGGTCGTGTGCCACCCCATTGCGTTTCCAATCTCTTGAAGCTCACTCATCACTTTGATCGTATCCCTTATGTATACATGTCCTCCGGGTCTCAAAATCCGGTCCATCTCTAGCATCATCGTTGACATGTTGCACCTGTGCACAAGACCACCACGAACAAAATCTTATATTACAAAGATGACGCATCTTTGTTTAAACTGGCCAAGCAAAGCTGGTCGTTGTTACCTTTTTCTCTCGATGGAAAACAGACCCGCGGCATGAAGCAAATCATAGGTTCTTGGGTAGGTATCGAACGGTTCACACCTGAAAAGACAAACATCTTGCATTTTATCTTAGACAGTTCAATTGAACTATACATTATATGCTCCAAAGGGATTTATACAGTGCCATTGTGTAATCTAGGGCCTCTAAAAGGATTTAAACCAAGGAAAAAGGTGACAACAATCAAAGATTCTGACATTGGGTAACTATCGTATAAGTTTAATAAAGTTAGACATTAGGAGTAAGGAGTCTTTGTACCAATCGTGCATTACTCCTAGTAGCCCACGGTCATATATAACAGGCAGTGTATTTGGCCCACTGACTGGAACAACATTGAGAACCCAGCAATCAACCATTAGCTCAGCCAAAGCCGCCGCAAATCTGCCAAGAAAACAAAGAGCACAGGAATATATGAAGCAGTCATTTCGGTTTTATCTAATGATAGAGCATTGTGGGGCGGAAATAGTACCCGCCAAATCCAGCTCTCATGTCCAAGACATTTCTGAGTCCTATCTGCTTCCAATGTAAGGCCTTTACATAGTTTGATATTATTTCTTTCCAGTACTTTGATTCAGCTACGAAGAGCTCTGTTCGGGCTATGTAAGAATCAATTTGTATTGTCTGCAACCTATCCGGTGGGGTCTGTAAACGGGATGGCCAAGGAGCAAGATTTGCTCCATATCCATGATCTTCAATCCTAGTGATACATGCCTTTAGATCTACGTACCTAACATAATAACAGAGAGATCGTAGAATGCTCAATGTCAAAGATTGGAAACATAGCGGTTTCTTGAACTTTAATTGGTCATTTGGCAGCAAAAGAAGCGGAAAAATAAGATATGCCAAACTTACCAAACACTATCTGGGTCATCCTCAGAATTGCACAAAGGAGGCATGATTCCAGCATCACGACTTAGATAACAAGTGTTATTTGTGGGTTTCTGCCAAATAGCTATATATCCTTCTTTCTTCACAAGAACCCAACACAGCCTACTGGTAAGGTTTAGCATCTCTGAAAAAACACAAAAAAACAAAATCCATCTTACTAAGTCACACACAAGCATGGTCTTAAAAAAAGACACTTTGTATATATCCCTGCAGACGAAAAGGAGCTTGCTCCAAATTCCTCTTTGATAGGCACCAACTCTTATTGATCAATTATAGCAAACTGAAGTGTAACCGTTTTTAGAGTTTCTTCCCAAGATAATTCAAGGGCTTTTCAGCTAAAAGAACTTCGGTTGGGATGCCTCTATAACCAAAACAGACTTCTATTGGGAAAACCGTGACGTAAAAATGGAATATTAAGCTGCATGGATGTTACCTTCCCACTGTTCTTCCAAGGCCTTTTCATGCTTATATACAGGTTGTGCTGCCCAAACAAAATATCCTCCGGCACGAAGCATCCTATTGACTTCAAGGAGCAAGATTCCATCTTCATATAAAAGAAAATGACAATACAGGAGAATCTGTCAGTAGAAGCTTAGATTAACTTGGTTAAATGATAAATCAGCCAGGAGAGAACAATCTTCGCCAAGGGGCGCACAGAGCGAAATATTTGTTTCCCACAGAATGCTTCTTATGTGCATGAACCAAAAAGGCAAAAATAACTAGACATGGTGGAAGGAACAGTTACCAGTTTGGAAAACTAAAGTGGGATAATATTTATTTCTGTAACTTTGTAATAAGTAAAAAGGTGACATAAAAGAATCGCATACCGTCACGAGTCCAGTTGATTCTACATCTTGAACAATGAACCAAATCAAAAGCTTGGCTTGGATACAACAATCGCCGTGTAGTGAATGCTGCCACCATTGCAGGAACACCACGCTCAAGAGCAAACTGTATCTGGTTCTCATGAACATCTTTTGGAGCTATAGACATAGTCAAGACATCTCGTGACATTAAGTAAGCACCAAAACTTGCCACACCGCATCCAATGTCAAGAACAATTCGTGTATGGTTACCAAAGCCGATTTCAGGAACCATCTACATATACGATAAATTGTATTTAACTTCAGATTCAAGGGAACACAGGTAACAAAATAAGTTCACAACGAATCTCAAAAACCAATTAAACCTGGGAGATCTGATCCAAGTACTGATCAGCACCATGTATAAACTGAGTACCACCACCAGGAAACTTGAATTTGTCATTGTCTTTGGAAATCCAGTTTTGTCCACCTTTGTCTTCAACAAGTCGAGTATGTGGAACATTGTTAAACCAAACCTATAAACAAAATCAGAAATTCCTTTAGAAGTCACGGAAAACATTCTCTAAAAACATGAACAGAGAGCATCACGATACCTCATCACGGCTTCTCGGCCACGGAATCGGAAGACGATATCCGTTGGGAATCGGGACGGCGCAATTCAATCCCAGCACTTCTTTGGGGCAATTCCGTTCGAATCGCTCTCCACGCGCCGTCGAATTGAGCCTTTGGATGGCTTCTACGTTATCCAAACAAGGAATGTAATCAGTCATATTCTCCGGACACACCTCGAATTTCGTCACACTAACTCTGGCCGTGGTAGATTCGGAGTCACCGTCGGTACTCTCGGATTCCGTCTGATCCCCCGACGTATCCGCCGCCGAATCAGCGTCGTAATCACCAATCTGGAACTGATCGGACATTGTTCCGTTCTCATTGACGATCCCAAACACATTCAGCTCAACCGTACTTGGTGGGGGCGGTGGTGTCAGAGGCGGAGGCAAAATCGGCGGAACCGGGTGACTCCGGTAGATAAAATCAGAGATGTTATACGTCTTTCCGAAATCAGGAGAGAGTGCGACAATGGGGGATCGAGAAGGCCCGGCGGAGAAGAATATAAGGCGGCGGAAGCCATCATCGGACCAGTGTTTACCGAGGAAGAAGCAAGCAACGGAGAGCAAAACAAAGGCGGAGATCTTGAAGAAAGTGGAGTTTCTGAGTAGATGGCTTCCGACGAAGAGCTTCATTTAGCTTCTGATTCATTCAAAGAAGCATAACACTAATTTTGGTTTTCGGTACTTAGAAGTTTCTTTTATTTTCCCGGGAATTTAGAAATTTCCTTTTATTTTCCCGGGAATTCTCGACTGCGAATGGGAATGGTTTGTCAGTGAACCAGTGACGAAATATCAAGAGTCATTTATTTATAACTTTAATTTGAGGGTAATTGTGTAAATGGCCTCTCAATTTTGAGCGATTAAGCGGAGAAGATTACATGTGAATTTCTTTGATTAAACTTGTAATCAACACAATGCCATATAAAATGACAAAAATGAATAATGGCAAACACGAATTTACAACCAAAAAGAAATGCAACCAGAGAATAAAAAATTCTAACCAGAGACTAAAAATGTAGAGTGTAGATTTTCTCCTATGCATTGAGTCATCGAGCATCATCAAAAAGAAAAGAAACCTATAAAAATGGAGCTGCCCATTCAACCCTAAGGATGAGGTTATCATAACCAAATCCATTCAATCCGTTGATTGCACGCTGTGCATCTTCCCTACTTGCAAAACTGACAAAACCAAATCCCTTGCTCATGGTCGTCTTCTGGTCAATGGCCACATAGGCTCGGACAGCACCAAACGGACAGAACAACTCCATCAGATCCGGTTCACGGGCGTATTCAGACAAGTTAGTCACACGGACAGTGTTCTCATCGTTCCTCCTTCTCCTGTCTGAATTAGTAAAACATATCTTTGCACCTGGTCTCCTGCTTGGCGGCACATAAGCGGCCTTTTCAGCTGCAGTCGATGTAGAAGCTTCTGCCGTTAATGGCGTTTCCATTAAGGATAAGAGATCCTTCTGAGGACATCTTGATGTCCAATGGTCACGTCTCATGTCGCATAGCCTACACACCATTGCTTCCTCCGCAATGCTACCTAAAATATCGAAAGAATAAATAAGAAATTACTAAAAATGGTAAAAGCAAGATCTTTCTCCCAAAAAAATAAATATCTTTAGGCTCAGAAGTGTAGTTGGCAGCAAGGAAGTGAAAGCAGAAATATACTTTCGTGCAAGAAGCCACCAACAAAACATCTGGGTGGGCAATACGGCCACCTGCATATAGAAGAATGTGGCTGGCTAACGTGCCCACCCATGGAGAGATCTACACAACTGACTTCTAAAGATGAAAAGTGGTTTCAGAATGAGAGTAAAAATGAGAACTTTATGTGTACAGTCGACAGCCAAGAAAGGAGAACACAGTTTTTGCTCACACTCTGAAAGGCTACCAACAAGAATCTGCTATTGGTGACATACTGACCAATCACAGAAAGAAGCAGCCGTATGGCTAATATGTGATCGGCTAATTGGTCACCTTTGTTTAGATACTACTCTCAGATTAAGTAAGTTGAGATAAGCTACAAGAAAATAAACACAAAACATATATGTCAATGATCCAAAACCAAAACCGGGTTTAATCCTGTTCTAGTGTTGAAATGAATCACCAACGACATTGCTATAGGTGAGCTTACTGACCATTCACACAAACAGCAGCCGTAAGGCAAACATGTGATTGGCTAATTAGCCACCCAAAAACGAAACATAAACAAGAAAGTGAAGCTTATAAAAGCAAAATCTTTTTAGTTATCAGTGTCAATAAGATCTTAGTTTTCAAATCTCAACGTCATTTATAACACAAAATAGAGTAAGATTGGTGGTTACTCAGAATTCAAGATGGTGCAAAAGAACAACGAATCCTAAAAAAAAACAAACGTAAAGCATTCATCAGAAAGTGAAGATTTACCAGGAGCCCTAATTCGTTCCAAATGATTATCCTCGGTCGAACGCATGGTATGGTGGCTACCTTCGCCCTGCAGTGCTCGCTTCTGGACTCGAATAGTGGTCGTGATTTGACCCTTTTGCCCTCGTCGTTAAACTTGTGCCCAATCAGAATGGTATAAAAGGTGATTGATCACAATATCTCCTCATCGGAAATCTTTAACTCTCTCCATCGAATCGATCGCCATCTTCTTCTGGTTTCGGATTTCAGATATGCCGGTTTAATGTCTACGACGGTAACTTAAAAAGGCTACAACTGAAGAAGAAGAAAATTAGGGTTTCAGATTATTGAAACGGTCTCCTACTTTTTATCTAAAATATCGTAATGGGCCAACCGGCCCGTACTTTTAGCTGTTCTGATTTGCTCTGGTTTTTATGGTTTTCCGCCGTCAACTTTGGTTTCTTGATTTAAAATCCGGTTTAATTAATAGGAACCCTAGTTTTCCTTGAAATCTCCATTTGGGATTGCCCAAGGATTTATGTGATCATAAAACGAAATCAAATTACAGTAGTCCAATTTTAAGAAGTTCCGCATATAACAACCTAATTAACCGTAGTGTAAAAAAAAAAACACCATTAAACCCTAAAGGTAATCAAAACCTCGGAGTCGGAGGTATTGTTCTCTCTCAAACACAAAAATGGCGACTTTGGTCCGTCGTGCAGCCTCGCGGCTTGTCGGAAACTGCAGCAGAAATCGCTTTTCCCTTTACACAGTCCTGGACCAGTCGTGGGCCGCTCAAGGTCGCCTGCGACATCTCACGCGGTCCATTTCTCATAATAATCCCTTTACCACATCTGCCAAAAAGAGAGCTTCCTGTAACGATCCGCTTCTCCGAGTGATCGAAACCGAGATTGGATTCGCCGAGCAAGCTGATGATTACGATCGAGTAAACCCATTAACTTCCTCCTCCGTACTCTTTTTCATTGGTTTTCGGGGATTTTTGTTTCATATAAATATCTTATTCTGCCATATCTAAGTGTTTCGTGAAGCTCTGTTTCTAATGTCAATTTGTTCTATAAGGTCACTTGAGAGGCCAATGGCAAATTTATAATCTGCTTCTGCTTTTGTTGCTTTTGTGCCTGAATAAAGGTTGAAGAATTTCCGAGTGGTTTCCCTTTCAAAATGGAAGACAAACCAGGATCAAAGACCGTGACATTGACTAGAGAATACGAAGGAGAAAGTGTTATAGTTGAAATACACATGACTAATCTTGTGACCGGTGATAAAGAAGACGATGAAGATGACGATGAGGATGAAAGTGAAGAAGATGAATATGAGGATAAGCCAGAGAAGCCGAAGCAATCCAATGTGCCTCTCTTAGTAACTCTTTCTAAGAAGACAGGACCAAGTTTGGAATTCAGATGTACTGCTTTTCCAGACAAGATTGCAATCAAGGACATGTGGGTCACATTTCCTGACAATCCTTCCAAGGATGAGCTTGCCTATGAAGGCCCTTCCTTCCGGTAATAACCCGAAAAAGTTTTGACCTTTAATTGTTTACAGGAACCAAAGTCATGATCTTTAATGGTTTTTTTCTGCAGGGTTTTGGATGAAAAGCTAAGGAAAGCTTTCCATAGGTACATCGAGATTAGAGGGATAAAGCCGAGCATGATCAACTTCTTGCACGAGTATATGATCAACAAAGATAGTAAAGAGCACTTGCTGTGGTTGAAAACGCTCAAGAACTTTGTCCAGTCTTGAGAAAAAGAACACCTTATTTATTAGATGCTCTCTGACTTACTTGAAACACAATTCAGTTCTGTTTGGATCTATTTATATATAAAAAGAGAGTATTGTGAAGTAAAATCACTACCACGGTTTGAAAAGGATGAACATCACTACACACCAATTAGAAGTAACTTGGTCAAGTATGTCCTGTTTTTCAAGTGAATCTATTATGTCTGCGATTGAACAGCCAATAACCCATCTTAACCATGAAACTGAGAGCTGTATCTACTATAATCTGACAAAACAAAGGGATGCTCACTTCAGACTAACGGCCTAGATGGCTAGATTCTTAAGGCTGCTAGGTTTGCTTCTGGATTGTGTAGCGACCTGTGACTTAGAGTTCACTGTAGTTACGCCAGACAGCCCGAAATTCTTCTCGGAATGTGTTCAAGCGTGCCTTGAGGTTTGGAGTTCTCACGCTTGCGTGAAGAACAATCACTATGGAGAGAAAACCTCATGTCAAAAACAAAAACTCCAATAAAGGACATCTACGATCAAGCAAGTGCAATGACTTACCGACGAGGGAAGTGAGAAGTGCATAGAGGACCCACAACAAACCGCAGGAAGAAAACCACATGACAAGACTGGCTATATAACATAAGGAAATCGACACATTGATCAGTTTTGACACCAATTCTGCATTGATTACATAACAAGGGGTAGTGAGTATTCACGAACCTGTTAGGAAAATAACAACGAATACCCAACGTGGTTTCCCACATACGTATACCGTCTTTCTTGCTGCTGATCTTCCACGGATGACAGGCCTGCAAATGCTTACATAATTTTAATGTTTGCCTAGAACCCTTTGTATATATCTTCCATGGAAAATAACACAAAAAGCAACTCACATGTGGGGAGGCCTCATTTTTGCTGCTAGATGTGGAGAGAAATGCCTAATAGTCCTTATAAACTTCTCATTAAAAGTAGCTGCAAAACTGGAAAAGGCAACAATTATCCCCCTTAAATCTGAACACCCAATAGATTCTGCAAGGGAGAACACGCACACACAGCCTCATACTACAATACTTGCGGATACATGCGAGGAAAAAAAAACGAACATCGATGCCGGAAACTAATATGAGTATCAAACCGCCACAGCGGGAATCGAAAAGGCCATATTGAAACAGTCAGATTTCAAGAACCACAACATATAACCAATCGACTCCAATACAAAGGAAGGAGACTCCAATTCATGTGAATACAATACTGAACTTCCAGTTCAAGAGCAACCAAGCCTAACTTCTTCTAAATTTATGCAAACCTACGCCAACTCAACTTCATGCTATCATAAAGCATCAATGGTATTGCAGAGCAGAGAGATACAAAAGCGGAAACTAAAAGAAGTCACCGGAGATAATACCTGTCGTTAAGGAAAGCTATGCTCAAGGCTGTGAAAGCAGCACCCACAATAGCCAATGGTCTTGTAATAAGCGCAAGACCTGAGTCAACAAAAACATATGATAAGAAACTGCAAAAGATCTTTTTAATTAAAACCCCAGATTCCCAAAATTCAGCTAAAAACAAGAAATTTCTGCAAAGCTTCTTCTTTTTCAGTTACCCAGAACGAAAATCATCAGGATGAAGTAATTCGTCCTATAGCTGCAGCAAATATAAAACTTGAGATCAAAATCATAAATAAACACCCTGAAAGAGAAACTAATCGAGAGGGATAGAGAGAAAGTAATACTAGTAGAGATTGCATTTGAGACGGCTCTTCCATTTAGAGAAAGAGCGAGGGAATGCGAATCTAGAGAAGAACTCGCCGAACGAACGAGGAGGCGTCGACCATTCAACTTCTCTCAACGCCTCGATCACATCCTCAGCAGCTACGTTGTCCCAATCCATATCTCTCGCTTCGTCTCAGAAATAAGAGCCACACGATGAATCGATTATTCGCTCCAAAATTGAAGAAAAGAAGCTCAGATGAGTTTTCTGATTTGGATTCGAGAATGTTTCGGTTCTCTCAATTCTCAGGGCGTATCTCTAATGACGTGGTATTAGGTAGAAAAAAAAATACAAAAAAATGTCTGAGCCCGGGTTCGAACCGGGGACCTCTAGTGTGTGAGACTAGCGTGATAACCGACTACACCACCCAGACAATTTGTCTACTCCGTGTTGTTTGTTTTTAATGAAAGAAATTAATACTTTTCTTTTTTTTCTCCTTCTCCATCCTCCAAATCCAATTGCCGAAAATGACTAAACAAGCCAACGAGTGTGGAGTGCAACGTAGACAAGAGAATGTTTGCTGTTTCGTTTGTACCTCGTACCACACCGTGCCGTTTGAGCTCTGCGTTTCTCTGCCACCTCTCGATTCCTTCGGTGCTTCTTCGGCTCCACCATCACTACCAGCAGCCACACCTTACGTCTCTCTCTTTTCAGGTTCCTCCTTCTCTTTCTCCCTCATACTCTCTTTCCGACAATCTCGGAGGAATCTTGTTTTGGGTATCTTTCATATTCTCATTTTTTCCCGTTTCAGATTCGCTCTTTAAGGAAGCAGATCGACATGGCAGCTCAAGGTTTGTTTAATCTCCTTTCTTCTCTAGTTTGGTCCTAACTTGATACGAGGAAACGTATATATTTATGGATCGAGTTCACTTGTTTTGAATACAGGTGATTATGGAGTGGTGAAGCAAAAAGCAGGAGGAGATTCGTATGAGGAAGCGTTGGCTGCTTTGTCTTCTTTGATCACCAAGCGAAGTCGTGCTGATAAGAGCAATAAAGGGGATCGCTTTGAGCTAGTTTTTGATTATCTCAAGGTTTCTCTTTCCACTGGATTCTTTTATGTTATATTTTGTTTTTCTGATGAATATTACGATTTTCGTAATCCATTTTCAGCTACTTGACCTGGAAAAAGACATTTTAAAGATGAAAGTTATCCATGTCGCTGGAACCAAAGGCAAGGTATTTAATTTCTGGATAATAATACTAAGTTATTTTCTTTTATGTGTGTCAAGATATACGTTAGGAGTTGATTTCATTAGTTGGATCTCTGTTTCGATTCGTGTAAGCCTATCTTAGTTCTACACTACTAGTGACCGTTATGTCCTTGTTACTGCTTTGTCAGAAGTCTAAGGTTTTGCTTTGTGGAGAATTGAGATACGTTACTGGACTGAGTCATCTTAAGCTTTTTCCAATTTGAGTAATTCCCTGAGCAAAAGGAATGGAGCTCGGCTTGTAAAAATTAAAGTTTCAGGTGCGAAAAAGGACATTAATTTGAACCTTTACATGCTAGGAGGTGCATATTGTTTCATTTGTAGGGTGTCAGTTGTGCAAGGTTGCCACTTTTAAAATCTTGGTTCATAAACAGTATTGGGATAATCAGTGCGGGATGATGCCTCTTATGAGTTTCTTTCTTCTAGATCGTGGTAGCACGATGGAATATGTTATGAAACTAGTACTTTGCCTGCACGGTTGGTTACTATCGGATCCAACAGCTAACACTATTCTCTCTCTGTTTATGTGGCCTGAAGGGATCCACATGTGCCTTCACCGAGTCTATTTTACGAAACTATGGCTTCCGAACTGGACTCTTCACTTCACCTCACCTCATTGATGTCCGGGAAAGATTTCGCTTAGATGGGTAAGTTTTTCTAAGTTTGTTGGAAATTTTAAGAAAAAACATATATCTGTGCTCATAGAAGCAGGAACCTGATTACAAACACTACCACGTTAGCATAACCAATTTTTTTCCACTTCCAAAAGCCTATTTTATTTTTGTTGTTTCAAACATATTGGTTGGGCATATGTGTTACATACTCCCTTCTTAGTCTCGAACAACCAGAGTTCCAAAAGTAGCAAACGAAGCAGTGAATCTCTAGTTTGCGTTCTTCTATTCTGAAAATTGCTCACCTTGCTTTAGCTGATGTGTTCTATTTCTGCAGTGTGGACTTAAGTGAGGAGAAATTTTTGTGTTATTTCTGGTGGTGCTATAACAGGCTCAAGGTATGTTTGCAAGAAAAAAAAAAAAGGATTCTGAATCTGTTGCTTTGAATTCATTCTCTGTATTTTGGGTTTCTCTATTGACTAGTAAGTAGTTATCATCAACGTAGATTTTCATTGGAATTATTTTCCTTGAGGGGTAGTGATCTTGAAGAGCACTTTAGTATTTGACTCAAGATACAAGGTTACTGACTATTTGATTTGCAGGAGAGAGCTAACGAGGAGATACCAATGCCTACATATTTCCGCTTCCTTGCGTTGCTAGCTTTTAAAATATTTGCTGCAGAAGAGGTTTGATGCCAATCTTTACCTTTTGTAACCATTTATCTTATCCAGTGACATGAGAAATGTGAAAACATCTTTTTCTCTTTAATGATACCGCTCTTTGCTTCATTATGCAGGTAGATGCTGCTATATTGGAGGTAGGATTAGGTGGGAAGTTTGATGCCACCAATGCGGTACGTTTGACATCTTTTCTAAGCTCAAATGCTATTTCTCCAAATAGAAGGCTGTAAGTATTCTTTTCTTGTGACTAAATAAGTTCTCATGGGGTTCACTGCTGGCATGTTACAGGTTCAGAAACCTGTGGTATGTGGTATTTCTTCACTTGGATATGACCACATGGAAATTTTAGGTTTGTAACTGGAACCCTCTCATGCATGCCATACCAATGCTGCTATGAAAATGTTATCAGTGTCCATATCTCTAGTTATTTTGTCTCTAAAGTTTTAAATCAGGAGATCTATGCTTTCATTAAATGAGCCACAGATTTTTGAGTTACATTCCTTTTGTTTACTATTGTATCATGATTTCTTTCTTCTCTGTGGGTTGCATCACAGGTGATACACTTGGCAAAATTGCTGGTGAGAAGGCTGGAATTTTCAAGGTGGCTATAACTCTTGTATATCTAAATTTTAAATGAATCATTCCTTTTCGTAACTTGGTCTCTCCATAATTTCCTCATATTCCTTGTTCATATGTTAGCTTGGAGTTCCAGCTTTCACAGTGCCCCAACCTGATGAAGCCATGCGTGTCCTTGAAGATAAAGCTTCTGAATTAGATGTACGTCCAATTTAAACTATTGAACCCTATAGTCATTAAAAAACTTGGCAGGCAATGTTTATGTGCTGTTTAGATGATTGTAGTAATTTAGATGTACAATTCCTTTGTGGTGAAAATTGAGAAATCAATGCGTCCACAACTAGGTGCATTTGCTATAGTTCCATTCTGGTTTTGTTGATCTGTGAAAGTAAGTGTAGGTGCTCATGCGGATTTGCAACATTCTATTGAAAGGTTGTGATATTAATAGTAGCTTTTATCATCGTATTGACAGGTGAATCTCGAAGTGGTACAACCACTAACTGCAAGGCAGTTAAGTGGTCAGAAACTTGGGCTTGATGGGGAGCACCAATATCTCAATGCTCGTCTAGCAGTTTCGCTCGCCTCTACCTGGCTTCAGAAAATTGGTAAACTTGAAGTTCCCAGTCTGACTCAGATGGTAAACTGCTCTTCCCTGTTTTTGTTTACTTCTCAGCTTGTATCTAAGCCCTTCTCTCATTTTGTGAATTTCATCCTTTGGTTTAGAATATTCTCCCTGAGCCATTCATCAAAGGTTTAGCTACAGCGAGTTTACAAGGGCGAGCACAGGTTGTCCCTGATGAATTTATCGAATCTCGGACTCCAGGAGATCTAGTATTTTATCTGGATGGAGCTCACAGTCCAGAAAGCATGGAAGTATGCGCCAAATGGTTTTCGTTAGCTGTTAAAGGGGACAACCAGTCAGAGAGTTCAGAACATTTGGTTAATGGCTCCACAGGATCCTCTCATGATCAATCTTCAGGAGAAGAAAATTGCCAACAGGTAAGGGGACAAGGGGTTGCTTCTTCTGTCTTGGATTTATAAATCTTATAAGAGATTTAATGAATTTACAGTAAAAGGATTGGGTTAGAGTATCTTCTTCTGTCTGTATCTATTTTTCTCTGCGGTTATCTAAGGTTTGAGCATCTGGCTGCTTTGCAGATATTGCTCTTCAATTGCATGTCAGTTCGGGACCCAAATCTATTGCTTCCACATCTAAGGAATACGTGCGCTAAATACGGTAAGTTCTTGAGCCTTGTATCTTGGTGTTTAGCACATTGTCCTTGAGGAAACAAGCTTTTTGAAATGGAGAATTCTTCAAAAGGCAGAAACTTATTTGAGTAAAACGGAGAGAAAGCTGAATAATGGTTCTTGTAGGTGTTCATTTCAAGAAGGCATTGTTTGTACCAAACATGTCTGTGTATCACAAGGTTGGTACAGCGACCGATTTGCCAAAGAATGATCCACAGGTTGACTTGTCATGGCAGTTCACACTCCAGAAAGTGTGGGAAAGCCTTGTCCAAAATGAAAGAGGTAAGTAAAATAATATCTTTCTGATCATGGAACTGACACACGGTCGCCTGGGACCATATCTTAACTTAATATTCTGTGGTTATTGGGAATGCAGAAGGAGAAGAAGACAAAGGGAAAGATGTTGAAAGAAGAGGGAACAGTGAGGTGTTTACTTCACTACCGATGGCTATAAAATGGCTAAGGGATAGTGTACATGAGAGTAGCTCAGCCACACGTTTCCAGGTATAACCCGAACCCCTTTTAATCGAATATTGATGATATTCAAGTGGCTCAAGGACTGTATGTTTGTATGTATGTGTGTGCAGGTTCTTGTAACTGGTTCGTTACATCTTGTGGGCGATGTACTGAGATTAGTCAGAAAATGAAGATTCTGAATACACCACACTAAATCACGGAAGCCACTGGACCTGCGGTTAGAGGATATTAAATCTTGTGTGTATTATTTCGATCTCACTTTCCACATAGATTTTTTCTTTTCTTTTTCCTTTAGTTAAACTTAAAAGCAACATGTTCTTTTACAAATGCTACACTAATAGCTTGATTTTGTTCCTTCAGATTTACGAATCAATAGAGGTTCCAATTGTTAACGGATGAAAAAGTCATCCCAAAACTAAAACGGATGAAAAAGTTAAATAATCAGATGATATATATAACACAATAAATGGGAAGCTCTACCAAACCAAACCAAAACCC